AAGAGTTGGATAAAAATTGTATAGTAAAGGTGGGATACAAATAAATAAAATAAATAAAGTATAATACCTTACAAAAATATTTTAAATCAATATGCTAAGAAAATGTAATCAGGAATGAAAAGTTACCAAGATAGACCATTAGGTGTCGCCACGTACCCAAGTATTCAGTGTTGAAGGCCTCGAATTCATTCCGGGTACAGAGAGCTTACTTAGAGCTCTCTTTGCTGCCATCTAGTGGTCATCTGGCTTTTTTGCAGCCCAATTATAATATCCCTAGTTTTATTAGATGAGTTTACCTTATATATCATTAGATTTCATTAAACTTTACATTACTTTCCCTCTCGTGTTGTAGTTGTGATGGAATGTCTTACAGTTAAATTTAAGTTAAATTAAATACTTTTTTCTGCATTAGCAACTGTTATACCCAGTAGATCATCGCCACTGGCTACAAATGGGCATCAAAGAAACTACACAGCACATAATTTTCTTAATTTCTATGCTTTAGGATAAAGATACACATTTTGCACCGAATTAGCAAGCTATTGTGGGACATAGAATAAGGGAGAATGCAGATAATTATGTACAACTAATGCCATGAACTCAATGACTTAAAGAAGGAAACAGCTATTCAGTTATATTGATCTTTAGGTTATTGGACTAGAATTCTCATTAACCCCAAACAACATAGTTGTCACATGGGAAGGGCATCTGGTTAGGCATAGTTTTCATCTCTTCTTCATTATTTCTCATTGTTCATTATATCTCTTTACATTCTTTCTATTACTCTTGGAGAAAATGCAACTGCTATAGCCTTCTCCAATTTGAGTTTCCCAAGTGCTTGAACAGCAGCAGCTCCATTTTTAGCCATGCTGATTTGGTACATTGAGAGCTATAGTCCTAACATATCTGGAAGAAACTACCATAGTAGAGAACATTAGAATATATATTTGTGGTGACTTGAGGTAGACCAAGAGATTGAACTATATAGTCATTTACTAACAAATAGTAAGTGACTATTCTTTTCCATGCTGTGCACATGTAACCTTTGGAAATGGTTAATAATCAGAATTTTTTAAAAAGTGTGAAAACCACCAAATTAAATTGAAGTAATATTGCTTAAATCCTTGCGAGAAAGAAAGATTTGCCAGAATGAAAAAATTGAACGATCAGCATGAAAAAAGCTTTCAAAAGAGTCAAAAACTTTTATCTGGGAAGCAGAGCAACTTATACACATGGTTATAAAGTGGCCTCTTTTCCCAAAGCAAAGGTAGGCATTAGTGAAAATTCTGGATCCCTAGAAACAATATCTTAATTGAATGTCATAATATAAGTATTATTAAGTGAAAACCTTGGTAGTACAGGGGTTTAAGGCACCCTGTTATTAAGCTTATTAAGACCAGCTGCCTGCAATTACTGCAGGGTTCGAATCTCGCCAAGGCTCAAGGTTGACTCAGCCTTCCATCCTTTCTAAGGTAGGTGAAATGAGGACCCAGTTTGTGGGGGCAATAAGCTGACTTTGTATAAATATACAAAAAGTATGAAGGCTATTGCATAACGCATTGTAAGCTGCCCTGAGTCTTCGGAGAAGGGCGGCATATAAATCAAATTAAAAAAAATAAATAAAAAAAAACTTAAAAATTACATTATTGTCCAAAAATTAAAATCTATCCTTATACAATTATATCTCCCCAAATCAACTCTATTTTTTAAATAAAATAAATACAATATCTTCAATTAGAAAAAAAATTGACTACAATACAATATGTTGATCATTACTGTTTTTAGATATTCTGAAAGCTTCTGTAGGAGCAGAAGGTAAATTTTTAAAACTGGATTGGGAAACAAATAGTTGACTTTATTATTAATCAGTTATATTTACTCACAAAAGCAGTAATTAAAAACAGTGGACTCAGCAAAAGACCTTTTAAAATAAATAGGATTACTAAATTCTCTAACTTTCTTTGACCTCATTATTAAAGTATTAGCAAAGAATATCAGGAAAAATATTCAACAGCTTAATAAATTGCTTCCATGTATACTTTCTTTGTTGCATATAACAAAGCTAAATGGTTGCTAGGATCCATTTAGAAAATAGTTAGGGAAAGGCTCATACCAGGGGTGAAATCCATCAGGTTCTAACAGGTTCTGGAGAACCGGTAGTGGAAACTTTGAGCAGTTTGGAGAACTGGCAAATACCACCTCTGGCTGGCCCCAGAGTGGGTGGGAATGGAGATTTTACAATATCCTTCCCCAAGGAGTGGGGAGGGAATGGGGATTTTGCAGTATCCTTCCCCTACCATGCCCACCAAGCCACGCCCACATAACCAGTAGGGAAAATTTTTTAGATTTCACCACTGGCCCATACCCTTTGAATGAGGGGTTTGAAAGGTCCAAATTAGATGTTGGACTTAGATGTGAAGCCATTTGATGTAAGAAAAAGTCAAGGATTCTCTGGACACCACTCTGTGTAAAAGAACTGGGCAAAAAGGGATGCAATATGATGTCCAAACTTAAGTGGAATCAAAGTTAATGGAGATTTCTGGGCAAAAAACCCATTTATCCCTATGAAAAAATAATAAAGATGTAGTCCATTGCAAAGTCCTTACATTTGGTAAGGAGCATAAGTGAGCATATTAAAAATACTACCTTCCTTAATGTTTTGCTTACTTTTGTTTTGTTTTTGTAATGTCTCTTACTTTGGGGGAATTTGTATTTTAACTTTCTGAATTAAAAAAACCTGAAAGTTTTTTTAAAAATACTATTTTCAATGACAAGCAATGAATGAGACCTGTGGATGTTGATACCAAAGGTTTGGCAACATGAAGAAAACCAGGGGGAGAAACTCCAAGGGGTGATCAGCAGAGGTAAAAGCAAATTATTTTCATAATGTTTTCAAAGATGAAGATAATCTTGGAGAGACAATATGACAGCTGAGTAAACCATAACAGCCAAAGCCTCAAGAAACTAGTAAAAGTATGGTTGTACAAATCCTTACAGATTTCGAAAGGATTGTGACCAGCAGGTTGATGGAAAAAGGTATAGCTAAACTCCATTAGATTCAAAAAGGCATCATGGGGCATCTAAACTACCCTTGATGCAGCTAGAGGTAATAGAATTGTTCAATGTGTTATTAGCCCAGAATGCAGTAGGGTAGCATTGGGAAACAATAGACAAAACTTACTGATCATTAGTTATATAGGCCTATGAAGATGGTCTTTGAAAGGAGAATGTCATGGCAGAGCCTTGAACCTGCAGTCTTTTGCTCTGTTGCATGATGAGAAGACAGTGCTGTTAACAATCCCCAGAAGCAGGAAAATACAAATGATCTGTCTTAAAAGCAACAAAAGGCAAAATAGGCTTGTTGCAAAGCCTACTTCCATATTGTAGTGCATATGGGCATTGTCATATAGAACAAACCATTCTAATTAAAAAAGAATTAGATCAGCCTGGTATCCACTATAAACTCAGTGGAACAAAGCCACCTATAATTTAATTTAATTTAATTTAATTTCCAATTTATATACCGCCCTTCTCCCTGAGGACTCAGGGCGGTGTACAGCCAAGATAAAAACATAGAATACAAATATTAAAAAACAGTTAAAATATATATATAAATTTTGGCCCGAAAGTTAAGAAATCACAGACTGATTAATGACAAGGGCATTTGAAATTGCAACTCAAGTCTTTGCCAGCTCAAGTGTGTGATGAATTGTGAACTCTTAAGAATTTCTACAATCTTTGTCTGAAAATCCAGGATATCTAAAATGGCCATTTATGGCCAGGGTGTGAATCATTCCTAAGTAACTTCCTTACTCTGGTAATACAGCGAGACCTGGCGATGTCATCCAGTGGTGTTAGAGGGCAACCCATGCAGAAGTGGTATTCAACAGGTTCTGACCAGTTCTGGAGAACTGGCAGTGGAAATTTTGAGTAGTTCAGAGAACCAGTAAATACCACCTCTGACTGGTCCCGTCCCCATCTATTCTCTGCCTCCCGAGTCCCATCTGATCGGGAGGAAATGGGGATTTTGAAGGAACCTTCCCCTGGAGTGGGGTGGGAATGCAGATTTTACAGTATCCTTCCCCTGCCACACTCACCAACCCATGCCATGCTCACCAAGCCACGCCCACAGAACCGGTAGTAAAAAAATTTGAATCCCACCACTGAACCAATGGTTTTTTGTGATGAATTGATCACTCTCTGTAGTGCCTTCCTGTTTGCAGCTGTTAAACCAGTACACCATACTGCTATACAGTATATGAGGACACCTTCTGTTGTGGACCAATAGAAAGAAGTCATCAGCCGTTGTTCCACCTGATTTTTCTGCAGGACTCTAAGGAAATGAAGTCTCTGTTGAGCTTTACTAACCACCAGGGATGTGTTGTTTTTCCAGGTGAGGTCTTGACTAATGAGCACTCCCAAGAATTTAAAAGAGGATACCCTCTCCACAAAGCCCCCCCCCTTGATATACAGTGGGGCAGATTCCTGTGCTTCCGGAAATCCAGCACCATCTCCTTTGTCTTGCTAGTATTTAGATGTAGGTTGGTTTTTGATCACCATGTGGATACCTTCTGGACTTCTTCCCTGTATGCTGATTCATCCCCTCAAAGGGTCAGCAGTGGCATTACACTCCATTAATGTTACATTATATACATTGTAACTGTGCTAGATTCAGTTCAATTGAATCAAGTCACAGGCTTAATTAGTATATCAAAATAAAAAAAGTGTAATAAAATGCCATAAAGCATTTAAAGGATAGGAAACAGAATTAATTGAAAGAGTAAAATACAACAAAATGAGATAATGTTCTAATACTCTGTACTATATAAACAATACTCAATTCCAAATTAATTTGCTATTAGCAGAGCATGAATTCTTCAGGCTAGAAATATAGATTGTGCTATCTGGTGTATAAACGAATTGGTGCATATTATCAACTTTAGTGGTAATGTCTAATTAATTAGTGCTTTGGTCAGAGGTTTTTAAAGAAACCAACAAAATTACTTGAAGTCTTTAATAGTGAATTCTGAGATTGTTTTACAGTACAACAACATGAATTGATTCAATTTTTATGGTTATCCATTCAGTTGACTATTGCAATATATTGGAAAAGTAAAATATCTCTTTTATTTTATCAATAGTGTTTTAAAATGTAGACTGTATTTCTGTAAAATTACTACTATAGAAAAACTGCAAAATTATTTTAAAAGCAGGAAGATTTAATTAAATTTATTTACCATTTGCAAGTTATATTAATAATTGTTCTCCTAATATGTCATTCTTTTCAGAAATACTGAAAATGGATGCTTTCCCTCCCCCCTTCTCCTTAAGATTGTTTGTGTGTATGACATCTTTATGTGAATTTATCAGTTTGGCAAATTCCCAGTTGTGAATTTTTTTCCAGCTATGCTTCCTGTGTTCGTAAATTGCTTTCCTGTTGGGGGATTCTTATTGATGCTTCTTTGTTTTATCCTTTTGCTCTGTTTTTTTTTTTTTTTTGCAAATAATTATATACACATTGCAATTAATAATGCCACAGTGCACATAAAACAAGAATTGGGAGTTAAGAGAGTTTAACAAACATAAAGTATACGTTCAATAGTCTAAAGCTAATACATTAAGCAATTGCTTGAAGAGTTTCCAGGCAACTAACTCTAACCGTCTTGCTGACTATGCGGTTTGGGCTACCATCACAAAGGACTTTATCTGAAGCCCAGCAATTGGACACCTTGTTTCACTTTGCGTGCTTGCCAGCGGAGGAGCTGGATGGCCCTTAGGCTAATGCGCAAAAGGTTGTTGTATCTGAAGATCAATGTATAGAACGAGTCAGTCATCAAGGCCCCAGTGGGATCAGCTTGCTTGAGAGCCATCATGGGGGTATACATGGCATTAGTCTGATGACGGAAGGGTGGCCTCTCCATACAAATGACCTTTAGGACATGCTGTCAAGGGAATCAGAGGACATTCGTGTGAGTATTATTTCAAAAGTCAACTTTAGGAAACAAAAAGATTTCTCTCAACAAAAACAAATGAGGTTCTATGGTGTAAATAAACAAGAGTCCCAAGGTGCCAAGGAGGAGCATACGACATTTTTCATTATTGTATGAGTGCATAAAAATTACATGTATACAAGCTCCTTTCACACACATGCTTACAGATATTGTAAATGGGCAGGAGGCAGGACACAGGGAGCGGAGCTGGTGTGGTGAGATCATGGGGCATCTCTGAATCTTTTGATTCTATAGTATCAAACCCCAAATTAGAAGAAATTATCACCTCAGCTATATCTTCAGGTGTTTGACTCAGGCTGGAGAAGATAGCTTTGGAATTTTTCAGATAAATCTGAGAAAATATCTCAGCAGTTTCGGGATCTGTCTGGGAATAGTCGGTTTTCTCTGCATCTTCATAGATTTTCATCTCAAACTCAGTCACCACTGGACCAGGCTCTATCAAGCTGACACTACAAATAAAGCATGAAAAATCATAACAGAAATGGATTTTTAGAAGGTTCTACCAGCAGTCCTATTCCGGAGGACATTGGCTACAAAATTTCTGTTTCCTCCAGTTTTTAATTTTTGTGAACTAGTAATGTTAATTTGTACTTTCACCAGCTATCTTAAAATCATTGAATGAGCTACATAAATTTCTTCTTGTGTTTACACAGGTCAGAATTCATACTGGAGACTGGAACCAATCAGATAAGCTTCCCAAGAAAAGAGTGAAAGTTGTTTGCATTGATTTATTAAGAAAATGTTGAGTTATCTTCTTCAAGACTCAAGAACTTACAACTCACAGAATTCCAATGTATTCTTTTATTAGCTCAATAATTTGGAGGACACCAGGACAAGGAAAATCTGTTTTAGATTAGTAATGTCCCTGTGGAACAGCTTTTAATCAAAATGTGTACAGATGCTAAAGCAGTTTTTTTCTATTTAACGACACTCTGAATTTTATTTATTTATTTGTTTAAATTTCTATACCGCCCTTCTCCAATGTAGGACTCAGGGCGGTGAACAGCCAAAGTAAAAACAAGACATACATACAAAACATACAAAATCTAAAATCTGTTTAAAATAATTAAATAATTTTGGCCGTAATTAAAACATTCCAATTTAAAATCCGTTTAAAATTTGACTCAAGCCAGCCCAGCTAGTTGAAATAAATGGGTTTTTAGGGCCCGACGAAAAATCCAGAGGTCTGTTATTGTACGTAGCTCTGGGGGGAGGTTGTTCCAGAGGGTGGGCGCCGCCACAGAGAAGGCTCTCCCCCTGGGGGTCGCCAGCCGACATTGTCTGGCGGACGGCACCCTGAGGAGGCCCACTCTGTGGGAGCGTACTGGCCGGTGGGAGGCTATTGGTGGCAGAAGGCGGTCTCGTAAGTACCCCGGCCCTAAGCCATGGAGCGCTTTAAAGGTGGTCACCAACACCTTGAAGCGCACCCGGAAGACCACCGGGAGCCAGTGCAGCTCGCGCAGGAGAGGTGTCACGTGGGAGCGCCTCGTCGCCCCCAAAATCCCCCGCGCGGCCGCGTTCTGGACCAGCTGGAGCCTCCGGGTGCACCCCAGGGGGAGCCCCATGTAGAGAGCGTTGCAGTAGTCCAGGCGGGAAGTGACGAGTGCCTGAGTGACTGTGCGTAGGGAGTCCCGATCTAGAAAGGGGCGCAACTGGCGTATCAGGCGGACCTGATAAAAAGCCCCCCTGGCCACGGCCGCCAAATGATCTTCTAACGACAGCCGTGCGTCCAGGAGGACGCCCAAGTTACGAGCCCTCTCCGTGGGGGCGAGTGATTCGCCCCCAATAGCCAGCGATGGCGTCAGCTGGCTATATCGGGACGCCGGAAGCCACAGCCACTCGGTCTTGGAGGGGTTGAGTTGGAGCTTGTTTCTCCCCATCCAGGCCCGCACGGCCTCCAGGCACTGGGACATCACTTTAAGGGCATCATTGGGGTGGCCTGGGGTGGAGATGTACAGCTGGGTGTCATCAGCGTACTGATGGAACTCCACCCCGAAGCCACGGATGATCTCACCCAGCGGCTTTACATAAATGTTGAACAGAAAGGGCGAGAGGACCGACCCTTGTGGCACCCCACAAGCAAGGTGCCTCGGGGTCGACCGCTGCCCCCCTGTCAACACAGATTGCGACCGGTCAGAGAGGTAGGAGGAGAACCACCGCAAAACGGTGCCTCCCACCCCCAACCCCGCCAACCGGTGCAACATGATACCATGGTCGATGGTATCAAAAGCCGCTGAGAGGTCTAACAGGACCAGGATAGAGGAGCAACCCCTATCCCGGGCCCTCCAGAGATCATCCACCAATGCGACCAATGCCGTTTCCGTGCTGTGCCCAGGCCGGAAGTCGGACTGGAGCGGGTCTAGATAGACAGCTTCATCCAGGTACCGGGGAAGCTGTTGCGCCACCACACTCTCAACAACCTTCGCAATGAAGCGAAGGTTGGAGACTGGACGATAGTTAGCCAAAACAGCCGGATCCAGAGAAGGCTTCTTGAGGAGGGGCCTCACCACCGCTTCTTTCAAAGCGGCCGGCAGGACCCCCTCACTCAAAGAAGCGTTAACAATCTTCTGGAGCCAGCCTCGTGTCACCTCCCGGGAAGCCAGTACCAACCAGGAGGGACACGGGTCCAATAAACATGTGGTCGCGTTCAGCCGTCCCAGGACCCTGTCCATGTCCTCGGGAGCCACAGGATCGAACTCCCCCCAGATAACACTCTCAAGAGCTGCCTCAGTCATCCCGTCTGGACATACCCAGTCAGAGGCCAGCTATTTTCATAGCTGAAGGATTGGGCAAATACAATGATAACTGATCTGGAGGGGAACAGAGTCCAAATTGAGTCCAAAATTTCTGTTGCTAAGAGAGACAGTTAAGTGAGTTTTACTCCATTTTACGACCTTTTTTGCCACAGTTGTTAAATGAATCACTGCAGTTGTTAAGTTAGTAACACGATTGTTAAGTGAACCTGGTTTCCACATTGACTTAACTTGTCAGAAGGTCACAAAAGGTGATCACATGACCCAACACACTGCAACCATCATATATACATGCCAGTTGCCAAGCATTCGAGTTTTGATCAGGTGGCCATAGGGATGCTGCAACGGTCATGTGAAAAATGGTCATAAATCACTTTTCCATTGCCATTGTAACTTCAAATGGTCACTAAACGAACTCTTGTAAGTCAAGGACTATCCGTATAGAGGTTAACCCTGAACCAGTGGTGGGTTCCTCCCGGTTCGGTCCGGTTCAGCCGAGCCGGTAGCGGTGACAATATGACGTCACTGAACCGGTTCTCCCCCCCCCTCCCACCCACCCACCCACCCACCCACGTTATTCTTACCTTTTATTTGGTCCCACCCCCAATCTATTGATGCCTCCTGAGTCCCAGCTGATGACTAGAGGGAAAAAAACTGTTTAAACTCTTGCTGCGGGGCTTCAAAGGGCCGTCCTACAGCTGATCAGTGTTAAAAGCAAACAAATGAATCAGGTCATAAGTGCGAGGACTGGTCGTAAGTGCGAGGACCTTTCAGAAATGACTCTGACCAGCTAGCCACGCCCACCTAGTCACATGACCTCCAAGCCACACCCACAAAATAAGCCATGCCCACAGAACCGGTAGTAAAAAAAAATTAGAACCCACCCCTGCCCTGAACTATTCGTAGTGATTTTATCTGATCAGCAGCTATGTGATGTTCAGTTAACAGAACAAATCTTTTCCACATATTGCCATTTTTTTCTGCTAAAGATTAAAATCTAAGCCTTTTGCTAGACTATTCCAATGAATGCAGCTGCTTTTCCTGAATTTTTGTTTGTATTCCATTCATTAAAACAGTACAGAAATAAGGACATGGCAAATCTGACTATATTCAAATGGGAGGGGAGTTTATTAGCATCACCACGACTATCTACTCACAATATATTAAATCTGAGTGCTTGGATAATAAGGCTTTCGCAGAAGCCTTCAATGGCAAATTTGGATGCAGCATAGATGTCATTGAAAATGATGCCTAGAAGACAAAACACAATAGATTATGACTAAGTCATGACCGTATCTCTGTATTTTGTTAATCAGAAATGGCCAGCAGGAATTTAGCTTGGGATGGTAAGGTCCAGTTGACAGTTTTCCCCTTTCCAGTGCAGTCTATAAAGGCCCAAAAAGTTCTCCTTTGAACTGCTGCTTTTCTTTATTCTATTGGTGTGATCAAATTCAAGACAAGCCTGAATCATGTTGAGCAAGTTTTCCTCACATTTTAAAAAAAGGCCATTTCCTGGCCCAGACCTATTTGGGTGTGTGTTTGTGTATTGTTGAAGGGGTTTTGCAAGAGAAAATTGAAGTGAATGGCTTCCCATAGCTTTTCTTTTCCCATTTTCTTTCCCCAAAGTTTAGAAAAGTGCATTAAAAAAGTAGAAACCATTGGGCCACCTTGCCTCTGAAGATGCCAACCCACAGTTGCCAGAAAAATATCAAGAAATTTGTAGTCTAAACCACAGACATTAAACTCTGAAACTCAACACTTCCCACAAATAACTGGTTATGAAAGCCTATACTAGCTAGAAACATTGCTTCTATCCTTCCAATGGTGTTACTTTGGGCTCTTCAATGGGAAGTTATTTTCCCTTAATCCAGGGAAAATAACCAAGTTCCTGGGATAATATATTATCTTGGCTGTCAACAGGACAAGATAATGGCTAGGTTCCTATAACATGCTGAACCAGATATTACCAAACCCTAATTTAATGTATTGTGAGAATCCAACCAATCCCTGGTATAGGCATTAGTTTTATTTTTATTGTTAAGTTTAGAACCATGATCAAACTACAAATTCTCATTTATTTGGATGCCTGAAACTGAATTTTGTGCATTTGAGGAACCAAAGGAACATTTGGAGAAACTAAATATAAAGTTGAAAGCAAAATGTGCCTATTGCTTTTACAACAAATTGTCACTCCAATTTGGATATATTTATTACTTTTCAGATAGGTTAAACATTGCTACTTGCTGTATTATTTATATAACATGATATACCAATCAAAATATCCGCAAGATTTGTCGCAAACTAGCATTATGGAAATAACACAAGTGGATCTATACAGACAGAATTATATGTACAGAGTATTTATTGGTAAATGTATAAATCTTGGTGCATGAATGATCTATGATATCTCTACCTCATTCATGATTTTAAATGTTTATGAAATTTGGTAAATAATTTGGAACTTATTTTATTCAACCACATTATTTTCAAATCATGGATCCTCCAGATATCTTAGAGGAAACTTCCCACAGTTCATTTGCTCATGCTACCTGGAAATTGGTTGTGGTATAATATACCTGAAGAGTATCATGTTGGGCAAGAAAGATTGCCCTAAAACATATGCATCTAAACAAAATGCCTTATCTGCTGCTTCTGAATTGACAACTGTACGGATACCGAAGATAAATTAAAATCAGCTTACCTTGCAAACCCAGGACACTACTGATTACCACAATATGCCCACTCCTCCTTTTCTTCATGTCTGGCAAGACCTCTTTAATCATCCTTACTACACCAAAGAAGTTGGTTTCCATTATAGCCTTCATCTCTTCAATTGATTGACACTCAATAGGACCAATGGAGCCCAGCCCAGCATTGTTGACTATAAGAAGTAGTTAAGAATTTTGTCTGTTTTACCCACTCACCACACAATAAGATAAAGCATGAAATGGAAAAGTCAACTGAAAATGACATTATTGAACCTTGAAAGTTTGACACTTGGATGTCCAAAGCTTTGAGTCAGAAAATATGGATACCATTAACTTTTCCAGTTAATCAGAGAGCTAGAAACCTGAGGATTAATAATATTAGGAAGACTGCAACACCACATGATGATTGCTTTGATGGTCATCACCAAAGAAAACTCAAGACCCTTGCTGCTTGCAGCAAAGATTAACCAAATGTTCAGCAATACATTCAAAGTACAGTGCCTGAATACCTGGCAACTGATTTGTTATTCAATAGTGGTGAAAAACTAGATTATATGTGAAAGCAGACTTTATGTGCATGGCTTATGTGCATGGTGGGATAGAATGAAAACAAGTATATAAATTTTTGTATAAGTTTAACAAGCAAACAGTTAAAACTCCAAATTCTGAGGAAGATCCACCCTCCAAGGAAGTATGTCCTCATTTCAGTAACATCAATATGTCCTTTGTGCAGTCCTAGCCACTCTGCTATTTCCCAAAATGTGGCATCTGATTACAAAACAATGAAATCTTTTAGGCTTTAATCCCATCCAGAAATTAGGCTCAGTCGAATCAGTCATCCAGAATACATGTCGTCATTTTTCACACTACGTCCTACCTTTCCATAATATTTCTCAATGGCATTATTGTCTCATTTCAAGTAATGTGATGTATAACTCTTGCCTTGTATTTCCTTTGCCTTTTTAAAATAAATTTGATCTATAATATATGTTATTAAAGAAAAGTCTATTCCAAATGACCATTAAATGTATCTAAAATATTCCATTAGCCATTTTAAAAAGACATGATATTTCCCAAGACCCCATTCCCTACTAGCCCTGATTATGTTACTTAGTCTGATATATCTGCAAGAAAACCACCAACCCCAAACAGTACCAAGGACCCCAGGTTCAATCCTGAGTTACAGATGTTCTCTTCTATCAAGATATGTCATAATGATGTGTTTGCCTCAAACTGATTATGATTATGGAGGAATAACCTAAGTTTATGATTAACTGTGGAAGTTTTAAAGGAGTATTTTCCAGATTCTCCTGAAAAATATCTTATTGTATGAATGACCTAAGATTTCTCTGTCTCATTCATGATCTTAGTGATTAACGCTCACTAAGTGCATCTGCCAATTCATATTTTCTAGTTGAGGCTGCTGCAGGAATGCATCTTCTCTAGTCACAAGCATTTGCTTTCCATGGCCATTTTGGTTTGGGCCATAAAAGAAACTGGATACTTGGCACTTATGGAAGTATCTGCTTAACTGAGTCAGACTCATACAGACACACACACACACACAATCACACACACACAGGGGTTCATGGGGTTTGTTTTATGTCCCCTAGAAGGTTGATAAAGCTGCAACTCTGAGTACTCACTGAGGATATCAATATGTCTCTGAGGAATGGTGTTAATGCAGTTGTGGATGGATTTCTCATCACAGACATCCAGCTGTTTGATCTCTAGAGTCTGGTTGAGTGCTGGCCCTATGGCTGCTTCCAGATTTTCTTTCTTGGTAATGTTCCTCATTGTGGCAATCACTAGAAGATAGGTGATGCTTGGTCATATATTCCTTTCAACTTGGCTGGCCAACTTTGGGAGCGGATTCTTTCCTGTTTTATTTCAAATGGCCAAATGCTTAAAATTTTCTCAAAGTATATACCCAATAATAAATAAGATTGTCAATTGTATAAATATATGCATTTTAGGTAAACATCAAGTTTCATAACACATTAGTAATTTACCAACTGGTCTTACAATGTTGCTTTTGACGAGTTCTTCTCATAATTTTTCTCAACCTGGTATCTTCAAGTTTGCTTTACAATACATATTTACCGTACTTCATATTTATGTATTGTAATGTATTTCCAGACTATTCAGTAATAATTCCTTGGTATCAGAGCTTTTGGAAGCACAAATGTGCTCACAAAACTGAAGCAGACTCTCACCACACCCTGAATCTATTTTCTTTGAAGGAAAAGTCTACAGCAAAGTTGGCATTTGCTAAACATTGGAAGTTACAGCATGGAACATAGCCCATTATGTCTTTGAAAATGCTAGTACAGGACTCACCCTTTGCAATATGATTGTTAGCTTTGGGTGTAAGTCCACTAACATTTGGCATGGGCAAGAAGGGAAGAAAAATCTCTTCATGATCAGGATCAGGATGGTACAGGACCAGAGGTGGGTTTCAGCAGGTTCTGACCAGTTCTGGAGAACCGGTAGGGGAAATTTTGAGTAGTTCGGAGAACCGGTAGTAAAAATTCTGTCTGGCCCCGCCCCCATCTATTCTCTGCCTCCCGAGTCCCAGCTGATCAGCAGGAAATGGGGATTTTGCAGTAACCTTCCCCCGGAGTGGGTGGGATCATGCAGTGGACATCTGTATTTAAAACTGGAACAGTGAAAGGAAACCGTGGCATAAATCAACACCTTTTGATCAAGTAGGAATTCTGAGGCAAAATAAATTGCTGCAAATTAATTCTCAAAACTTGCACACTAGAGATCCATAGGTCCCAATTTTGCCATAAACAATTTTGATCCTCAAGAGGACAAGTCCACAAACTGTAGTTCTTGTATATCCCAAAAACATTTGTATGTTAAATAAGCTGGCAACTTATGCAAACAATTAAATGGAACTACAGAATGTTCATGCAGAGTCACAAGATGAAGAAATTATTCCTTAAACCAACAGTTGTTAAGAAAATAAAACTAGCAGAAGGGAGAATTCAAAATTTTCAATACATAGATAAGCAAAGGTTCCGTGAGATCGTAACTTCTAAAATTGGTGTTATGTGATATTAGAATTCTCATTATTCTATTTGCCAAACATCAGTAATATAAACATATTTTTAAAATTTAATCCTTTCTGGCAATGTATTTACAGAGGCCAAATAAGAAAAGGGATTTAACTATGGCTAAATTTCATCCCAATATTAATATTTTCACAATTTTGTCCTTTAATACTATTATCTGAAATGGTGTTTAAATGCAGTTTATGGCTTGTTAGTGAATACACATACAATTACTAGGAAGCAAGTCTGAACTCTGAAAATCTTCAACATTTACCACAAATCAGCATTTCCAATACAACAGAGCATGCCTGTCCTGAACAATTTATAGAGATGGACCAGGCAACTGAAACATTTTTTGAAAATGGGGTTGCTATTCAGTACTGTGCACTTTTAAACATAAAATTTGAGTCCCCATTTAGCAGTTTATTGTGTAATTCATCAAAACCTATTTGATAGAGAAATTGTATTTGCTCCCACTGCCAAATAAATACTCTAAACTCATTTATATATGTTCAGATTTTAATCTGGTTACTGAAGTTATTCTTGTATTAATTACATTTATTTCCTGCTTTTATTTTGTACAATTCAAGGTTAGATAGGATTCTCTATTAGTATAATACACAGAAGTCCTAACCACCCAAGATATTTATCATAACTAAGCTGTATCAATAACTGTATGTAAGATTTTGTGCAAATACTTTTATTATATCTGTAACTGGCCTGCTTAACCATGTTTTGTGAACAGTCACTAACTTATCATCTGTATAATTATAATATATAACAAGACTACCCAACATTTGGGGATAATAGACAATGTTGGAATAAAGAGAGCTTGTTTTAAGCTTGCTGTAACCAGTCACATAAAACTCATATTTTGAAAGGCAAATGAAACTCTCAGCTACAATACTCAACATTTTGATTTCTAAGAATGCTTTAGGTATTTTAAGGATGTGAGAGGCATTGCTGGAAATAGTTTACTTTTAATATTGCCAGGTGTCCACTATTTGAGCGGACAGTCCGCTTTTTTCACATTATGTTCACTATTTTTTTTCACAAAATAGTGGACATTTTTTTATTCAAAAGCTTTATGATGAAATTAATATTTAAATTTAATATTTTACATATTATTATAATATATTTGATGTTTTGAATTTTAAGTAAAGTTTTGAAGTGATTATTTTAATACGTGTTAAAATGTTTGTAAGAAAATATATAATTTAATTGTAATTTTTTTTAACTACTTAACCCCACCCCCACACACCTCTCTTGTCCGCTATTTTTTTGGAAGCAGACCTGGCAACCCTATAATTACTTTGGCTGATATTTCCTTTGTATTTATTTCCTTTGTGTTGCTTTATAACATACCAGTTTTTTATTTAATTGCAGAATAATTGAAAGAAAGATAGACAGGCAGACAGACAGATAGAATTATAATAAGATGGGTGCTTGGAAGTTAGCCTGGAACATGTGAGCAGAATATAGAATGATAATGGTGTATATTATACCTGTTAAAAGCAGGAGTATTAAAGTAGAAAATAATTGAAAAAGTATATGCAGTACTATATATATATAGTATATATATACTATATATATATATGTTTTCCCTACGTAACCCTTGCTAGAGGAAAAACACACATAAACCCTACGAAGAAGTAAGAAAATATATGCATTACTGTTCTAGCCAGGGTTTTTCCTACGTAAATCAAGATGTTTGTATAGCCATAGTTAAGTGACATCCCAAATCACTATTTTCTAGGCTTTATCAGACATTTAAGCAGCAGACCTTAAGTCTTGCAGCAGACAGCATAATGCTGTTTTTATATATATATATATATATATAGTGTTTTATATATATATATATATATATAGTTATTTATGAACTTAATGAACTTAATTATCCATGGTTTGCAAATACACTATTTATACACACACACACACACACACACACACACACTCACAATTTTGAAAACTCACCTTTGAACCTCCTCTGCTTATCTTTTGCTAGTTTAGCAGCCAAAGCCAGCCCAATGCCAGATGAACAACCTGTTATCAGTACAATTTTAGGAGACATAGTGTCCTATGTGAAGGAGAGAAATGTAGACTCCCCAAAAAGGGACTTTTAAAAATATTTTGAAAAGACTTGAAGTTCCTAAAAACTTTGTACCCTTACATCTTCTCCAAAGGGTTCAAAGGGCTTTAAAAAGGCCAGTTTAAGACCTAATTGGCTAAAATGTAAACTCTTAATCTCTTGAATTTTGTTAAACTCCAAATGGATTTGCATACAAATCCCATCTAATCAGTTCCAGGATCAGCCACTCGTGATACATAAACAAAACCATGAGACTTGGCAAAGTATTTGGAAAAAAGAAAATGGCATTTCCCAATAACCTTTGTAAGGCACATTACCCAGCTTGGTTTGTTTGTAGACAAAATATCAAAGAATCATCATAAACTAATATGGAACTTAGTGATCTTTTTTCCTGATACAATAATTTTAAAGTGATATTTACTGGATGGTTTTGCAAATGTTATTTAGCTATCCTTTCTCCAAGGCATCTGGAATGATCCTGGGCAGTCAAATTAAAAAAAAATGGCAATGAAGAAAGGCTAATTATTGACTTCTCTATCATTTCTGCTGCAGACACTGTTTAGGATAGGAAAACATGAGGATGAAATACATTTATATTTAATTATACATTAGAAATCTGGTAGCTTATGTATGGAGATATATTTTTTTACTATTCTATAAGGTATCATTGATTATGCATGTCAAAGGTTGCAATTAGCTTGTTCGTTTCACAACTTGATTTGAGTAGAAAACCAGCCTGAGGTATCATAAAAAATAAGATTTATTACCAGAATTTACATATACAAACAACAAAACATCACAGTATATACTGGCCTCAAAAAGTAGCAGAAATAAGAGTGTCACAGCCTTCTTGCATCATCCCTTCTCGCTCCCACAATATTTTAAGCCCTTAACACAAGGAGGAAAATAAAACATTTCTTCAAACCTCAATTTCTCATCTGTCACATTAATTAAACTTAACCAAAAATGTTTCAATCTTTGCTCTGTTATAGGACTCACAATTAGAAGAATTCATGGGTTTTGTGATTCTCAAGAGCCCAAGGAGATTCTGCCTACCAGGCAGACCACTATTCTCCGATCTGACAGAGTCACAAGAAATTTCAGAGCAGTCTTTGGGCTTAATGTGAGCCTTCCTGCTGTGCATTCTCTCCCAAAAACAAAGACAGTCCCAAAGACTCTAATCGGATCCTCATAACATTGTAGCCCATCCCTTGAACAGGTTGCATTTACTTTCATAAACTGTGATGCTACTAGGTACCAGGGAAGAGACTGAACAATAAAAGAACTCATTTTCTAACAAAGGTGACAGCACCCATAGAATCTTGGGTAGAACTGGACAATAGTTCTTAAGAGAGTTAATAAGACAAAAATTATTTGCAATACGAATCAATTCTTACATCTTACTATTTTTTCTAGTCAGTTAGGATTTTGAAACAATGCATAAGTCTGGCATACAACATCCAGACTACTGGAAATTGGCAATCACATTAGAAAGATTAAATGATCAATGCAGCAAAATTTCTGTAACATGGTGACAAAGCAAAGTCTGTATTAAAACATACATATAGAAGGGCACTCAAGAGGTAAAAAATGTCATATGAAAAAAAAAAGACACCAGCCAACAATGTTGTGACTGTTTCCAAACTAAACTACTATATTGTGACCTGAAATCCTTCTTTGATTCTGGAAAAAAAAAATCTGAAGGCTTACTGATGAGTAGCCTTATGGGAAGGTTAAATACTGTTCTTTTCTTGGTTTCTTCTAGAAGTGGCTGAAGGCAAGGTGACAGAGAGGTTGAAAGTCTGAAGTAGGTCTGATGTACCCATTTCAAAAGGACCTACATATAAGCCTTAGCCAATGGTAATTCAGGGCCCAGGAATGGCCAATGGGTGACAGTCTATCATAAGGCAACACATGTGCAATAGTGCTTCAGCTTGCAAGGCAGGATGCCACGGTTGATTTGGTGAAATTCCACTAGCTGAATCAAGTCAGCAAAACGTGTCTGGCCATCATCCATGGTATAGTAGAGGCGTCCTTCTTCTTCACACTGAAAGGCATAAAGAATTAGAAAACATTGGCATAGAAATAGAGGCAAAAGAGAATAGAAGAAGTGGAAGATGATATCAGGCTACATCTCAATAATTAATCTCAGGCAGAAGTGGTCCACCCCATCCCTGCCCATCTTTTGCTCTCCAGTAACAGTGCTTCCACAAGTTGATCTGAGTACAGTACAACACCTTTTTTTTCTAGAAAGTAAACAACAGAGGAATTGCAGATCTCCCAAGAATTCCTTATGCATGACTGTTTAGCTCTGCTGATGTGACGAAACCAGATGAACTGCAGATATTTTTTTTCCTGCTTTGTCGCTTTCATATTTTCCAACAATGAATTGAAATGTAAACTTGTCACATATTTATGTTCTGTTTGGTCAGATTCTGTCTATATTTGGTTTCCCTAAACTTGGATGACCTTGAGCTAGCTAGCAGTTGGGAGTTGTATGCTCTACCAATTCCTTATACATCCACAAATGCAGATTAAAGTAGATTATGTTAACAGTTTTTTTCTAAGATGCTATAAATATAGCTAAAAGAGGCTAGGAGTGGTACTATTAAATAGAAGTCATCTTTTGTAGAAGGTAAAGTACAACAGAAGAATACATGCAGAACATTTAAACGTAATCCCTAGCATACTGAAGCAATAATAATATAGGTAAGAAACAAATAAAAATTCCTGCTTTGCGTTTGGAGACCAAGACTGGATGGATGAAAGCAGCTCAGCCAGTTTCATGGTTCACTTACCGGAAGTATCAGATAGTGCTTCACTTTTTGCGTATGACTAAGGGACAAGACAAAGCCTTTGGGATTCCGCTGGCTTTCACGCACCAGGAATAACCTGCAGTTAATAAGACCCCAAACAAGGGTTAGTTTTCACCACCTATCCACTTCCCATACACTGTGTTCCAATTTATGCTACTGCAATGCTTGCAAATTATACATCTTTGAATAATTTGTCTTTTCTCATACTAGTCTCTTCCAGATGTATACAGATTGCAGATCTGAGAATTGCAAATGTTCTAACCCAGCTAAAGGACCATATTATAGAAAGCTGCTAGAATTTATCTGCAGAGTTGGGAGATCCAACTCTGTCCAAGTACTTGGACAGATGGTGATTCCTTTTCCTTGGAAGTCAAAGCCTAACAAAACTTCTAGTGGCTATGAAGGTGAAGAAAAGCGACTACTAAGTTTCCTTGCTTGCCTCTCCCAGATCAAGAAATACATTTTCTACTCTCTTACAATGTTCTTACGGGATGATTTCAGGTACATCAATATCCCTCTCCATCCTGGCCAATTTCTACAGCTCTACATCTGAATATAGTAGTATAATTAATATTACAAATTGGAATGTTACTCAAGCAACATACCCATCCACAAGTCCTTGTTGAATTATAAGGCGCTGGGAATCTTCTCTAGAAATGTGACCATGGAACCAGGGTTGAGTTTTGTGGATGGCTGGAAGGAAGGAAGGAAGGAAGGAAGGAAGGAAGGAAGGAAGGAAGGAGCAGATCTGAGAATTACAAATGTTCTAACCCAGCTAAAGGACCATATTATAGAAAGCTGCTAGAATTTATCTGCAGAGTTGGGAGATCCAACTCTGTCCAAGTACTTGGACAGATGGTGATTCCTTTTCCTTGGAAGTCAAAGCCTAACAAAACTTCTAGTGGCTACGAAGGTGAAGAAAAGCGACTACTAAGTTTCCTTGCTTGCCTCTCCCAGATCAAGAAATACATTTTCTACTCTCTTACAATGTTCTTACGGGATGATTTCAGGTACATCAATATCCCTCTCCATCCTGGCCAATTTCTACAGCTCTACATCTGAATATAGTAGTATAATTAATATTACAAATTGGAATGTTACTCAAGCAACATACCCATCCACAAGTCCTTGTTGAATTATAAGGCGCTGGGAATCTTCTCTAGAAATGTGACCATGGAACCAGGGTTGAGTTTTGTGGATGGCTGGAAGGAAGGAAGGAAGGAAGGAAGGAAGGAAGGAAGGAAGGAAGGAAGGAAGGAAGGAAGGAAGGAAGGAAAAAAGAAAGAAAGAAAGGAAGGAAGGAAGGAAGGAAGGAAGGAAGGAAGGAAGGAAGGAGGGTTTTTTTTTAGAAGCAAAGCATTAAAAAATATTCACAAAGAACTTCAAGTGTAAACATTAACTTTTACAATGAAGAATATTGAAGATCATGATTGAAGGATCCATTTTTTACCCTGTGAATGTTGAGCTGCTGAGAATAAATTGGAGCTGACAACAGGAAAGAATAATCAATCAATAATCTGTCAGGAACTAATATAATCAGCGTGAAATCCAATTAAATTAAATGGAAATTTAATTAATGGGAAATTCTTTCATTTCTATCTTCCTTCATTTCTATTCTTCCTTACAAGCATCATGTTATCTACAATGCTGTCAAACAACATTTCACAACTTTCAGTCTTTATCTGCAAGTAAATAGATTGTAAAAACTATCCATCACACTTGTGATTTTCTTATATATGGGACTGTTATGGTACTGCAGATTTCCCTATAGAAGAAGTTGTACAAAATAATGTTGGATAGTATTTCTAGACCCCTTTCCATTTTGTCATAAATTGCTGAAGATATTAATATCATAACTGTAAATGTTCTATGATAATTTGGAATAGTACGCTGTTTTAGCTATTTTGCTACTAGGGACAAGTAGGGAAGAACAATTAGTGCACCCTCAGAAGCATTTTATTGTTGCCCTGTCTTATTATTTTCTGTAGGCCAGTACAATAATCAAATACTGAAACAGTTCAACTGTGCTTCAGTTAAACAATTCAGATAAATACAGCTGTAATTCAATCTCATCCTGCCTATTGTGTTTCAAGACAGTGGATTGGAGTTCCATTAAAAAAAAGTCATGCTGATTGTATTGTGGGTTTAAATGAACACTATAGTCTATGTCTCCGTTACAGCAAATGCCATAAGAAAGAGCATTATTTTCCCCTGATCGATCACTAGGCTTCATTCATCCCTTAATTTGCTACCAACAATACCAATCAGGTGTTCAGCTAATGTTACAGGTATGAAACATGACTAGATATCACGTTCTTGGGACAGGCACTCACCAGTACTGAATGGACAGCTCTGGAATGCAGTGGGCAGGCTATATCGCTGAGATGTCTTCTTCTGCAGCATAAAAAGAAGAATACCAGAGGTTGTTCAAGTCATTTAAGATTTTTTTTAAAATTTGATTTATATGCCGCCCTTCTCCGGAGACTCAGGGTGGCTTACAATGCGTTTAAGCAATAGCCTTCATACTTTTGTATATTTTATACAAAGTCAGTTTATTGCTCCCACAATCTGGGTCCTCATTTTACCTACCTTAGAAATGATGGAAGGCTGAGTCAACCTTGAGCCTGGTGAGATTTGAACTTGCAGTAATTGCAGGCAGCTGATGTTAATGACAGTGCTTTAGTCTGCTGCGCTACCAGAGCTTCTTTGCCATCACATCAGACAACAACATCAGTAATTATCCTGGCTAATTGCCATATACTTTTTGACTAATTCCAGTGAGCAACTATATAAACATTTTACAAAAATTGCTGTCCTAAATTTACTATATAGAGTGGGAGCTTCTTCAGAGAAAACATTGAGATTGGACTGTAAACTTCCCTGGAGAAGGGTTGGTTTCATCATATTCATCTGACAAAGCCTGCTCAGTTTCACAGAAGCCAGTTCGTATGATAAATGAGTTAGTTTTTGTGTTGCCTTAAATTATTTCAGATTTACTTGTCTAATAATGTTCTTGTATCACCAAAGGAATAAATGTGTTCAGGAATATCAATATTGGACATTTTTGCTTGGCATAAAGAGAAATAAGGAGAGAAATAATGGGATGCTAGAGGTGTTTGGGACTGGAGGTTAGCTGAGTTTTGCTGTTGTCCATGTGGGTTGTTTTGTTGTTGTTGTTGTTCTTTTGGGTAAGTGGGGCCATTGTTTTAATTATGAGCTCTGTGAATAGTGTGTTGCAGATTTTCTGCTTTTCATGCTTGTACACCACTCAGACTCATCTATGTGAGATGAGCAGCTGTATAACTCATATAAAAACAAACAAACAGGAATTTTAAACAAATAATGAACATTACTGTGTGTTTGGTTCAGGCTACTTGCTAATATGAATGGGAGCCTGATGGTGTTTAAAATCTTTGTTAATACAAGAATTACTTTGTTTAATGACTAGTTCAGGCTCCAAGATACTCCAATGTCAGGCTTTCAGGCTTCATCTCTGCACATCCTTGCCATTTGCCCAAAACTCTTAATTTCTTTGTTAGCAGTCATCCAAGACTGGTCTCACAATTGGATGCTGCTTCCTGTACTTAGGATGACTGCAGCTCTTATGGGACATTTCGTTTCCTAAAGACAGTTTGAGTTTATTCACACACAGTTACACATACAGTATACTCACAGTTTGGCTACAATGAAATACGGTGGGTTTTGGCCAAATGTATTGTAGAAACTGTGCTATTTTCTTAACATGTTAAATAAAGCCTTGAAGACTTTAGTAAGTCTTAATATATTTTAACTTTGTGGGCATGTTATAATATCACAGTAACTGGGTTTTGCTATTCCAAGTTTATGATTAAATATATTATGTGAACCCTGTTAATCTGTTGCCACCATAGATTAACCCAGCTCTCTTTCTGTAACATTTCTGTATTAATGTCTCTGAAATTTCTAAGTAAGAAATAAATAGTAGACTTACCCTCCATGCCCGAGCTTCCTCCAGAGCTACAGTCAGTGCCTCATTGGGGTTTTCAATCACTCGCCCTGTGCAACCCGAAAAGTCCATGGCCACAAGCGTATTATCAGACACGCTCCGCTAGTGAATTTTTAAAACAGAGTTTAGCAATTGTTCTCTTCAGTAGTACATAATCAATTCCTACTGGCAGCATAAGGTGAGTGTAATTTAGTAGCTTTAAAAAAGTATTTACAAAAATCTTTTTAAAAAAGGAGGGAGATACTTAGCATAGCAATTAGCAAGTTTTGGTACCACATATCAAAATTCTAAGGTTTATGTCAAGTTTTGATACTGCATACCAGTTTCTAAATTCTAAGGTTTGTTTACAGTAAATATACATTTAAGCTTCTTTTCTTTAAAAAAAAAACCTTTGAGGAATAAAATAAATGACCGCACACACAAAAAAGAATATGAGATAAATACATAGTAGATAGAACTTAAAATTGTTGACAGATTTTACAATTGGCATAAAATTTAAAATTGCTTCATTATTTCAGTGATTAAATAATTTACCTAAAATTACATCATCTTCAGAAATAAAATTTAAAAAGTACACCATCTAAGAAGGACATAAGTAAATACAATCCTTTTTGCATTTTCAGGTCATCAAAAGGAAATCATTTCTTGAATATGCTATGGATCTTTTGCACTGACAACAAATTTGATGTTTTTCACACTTGAGAACAAACTAGGGTTGAAATAGTGGTGAATATCTGTAGCTCGGGTGTAGGATGAGAGTGAAGGTTCATCCTCTGAGCTTGTGGATTAGTTTCTGAACATTTCGTTACCAAGCTAGGTAACACCTTCAGCGGAGTTTAGGGGTCACCTCCAGTGGTGGGATTCAAATAATTTAATAACCGCTTCTTTGCCCCAATGACTGGCTGGGTAGCATGGCTAGATGATCATGTGACTGAGTGGACGTGGCCAACTCGACAGCACTCACTCGCCTCAAAGTCCTCAAAAAGATACACAGAATGAACTTCACCCTCTGAAACTAGGATATTTATACAAGTTGTCTTCTAGCTACAATTTAGGAGGGAATTTAAAAATTCTTTCCCCAGGTATTTTTATTTCTACTATCTTTAAATAACTGTGTAAATGAATTGTCTACTAGACTGCTGTAAACTACCTGGAGCTATAAATGAATGAATAATAGGCACTTCTCTAAAAAAAATAAAACAGAATAGGATAAAAATGGTGATAGAGAAGAAGATGAATAGTATGTACATCAAAAATCAATATCTGAAAAAAAAACTTTTTGAATTCCAAACTACAATTCTTATTTTCAGTGTAAATAACTTGTCTTCCTTCCAACAGAGTCTCATAGGTAAACTTTCTCAGCACAAAAACAAGTATAAAATATAAAGCAGTAATTATAAAGGTTCCACTGTGTAAATTTGGTTTTGCAACTTGTCTGGAAATTCTCTCAATTCTGTCCTTCCTTACTCTTGAAATGGATGTTATCCATTTATAGACCAGTATTTATATGTTCATGCTTTTTAAAAAAACCAAAGCTAACATATTGATCAGTGTTGAATTGCACAGGAAACTGAGTAGAAGAAATATGGTTGAGATTTGGTGAAGTACAACCATTCCTCATTTAGTCACTACCTTGATTAGCAACCATAATACAACGAAATTTATTACACTATTTATTATCACAGTAGTAAGAAACTCGTTCTCTGACTAAATTTCATGTGCTGACAACATCGCACACGGAAGTAGTAATAATACTGGCATAGAGACAATTTTATCGAAATGAGAGGGAAACAACCAGTAATCCTTGCAGAGTGCTTCTATCTTGGTCACTTTTTTCGATAGTGACCATTTTGCTTACCAACTTGGTCACTAGAACTCAGTTGCTGAACAGGAAATGTGTGTGTGAAATTAATACATCTGCAGAAAATTTCTCATTTAAAATTAACTACAGAAAGGGTTTCATCCATTCAGGAAATATATGCTTATATGATGAAGGTATTTCTAAATTGCCTACACCCCCATAAGCTATCAAAATGTTCACCCAAATAATAAAAACAAGTGATTTGTTATCAGACTACTTACCAGGGGCACAGTGCCAAACCAAGCTGGTTCCTTTTGGCGTGCCTGACATTGCTGGTAGTTTCTGTAGAGCTGTACGCCATACTGAGGAAAGATTAATAGTTGTTAATATATAAAGAGCAACTCCAGCCCATGTAACAGTTTTCTACGGCTGAAAGTGACAAGTTTGACAATACTGTACAGTAAACCAACTTTTCTCTAGGAATCATAGTATTGAGACCATGTAAATTATTAAAAGCTACCCAATGCAACTGGAGATCAGCAATACAGCAATACAGCAGACAAGATTTGAAGGATGATGGGGTCAGAGCTGAAATCCCATGTCTAGCTAAATGTTACTGAAATGCAACCTTTTGATAAAGGAAAAATTCAACTTCTGAGGCAAGGTTGTAATAAGGAGGAAGAGAGTGTTTCTCTTTCCTTCCCATTTGGAGGAAGATGATTTCCTGGAAGTTTCTATTTACATTGAAAGAAATTTCCTATTGTTTCCAGTGCCAAACCAAATGGTTCCCACCTTAAAGAGACGGAAGGCAGCCATCCAGCATGTGCGACTTTGTTCATCTTCACAGCAAAAGAGCTTCAGTCCTTTGAGTCCACTGCGTGCCTTATGTGGCTTTAAGAGAAAGGAAAAACTGATAAGAACATGACAACACTCAACACACACAACATGACAATTCTGACTAGACCTTCCTCTTCCACATCTGAAAAATTCTATATGAGTTTGGTCTAGTTTCAATTATCATTAAGCCTCCTGTTTTAGGAGTACCTTGACTCAGGAACCATCATCCTAAATCAAGATTCTTCCCTTTGGAAGAAAACATTTAAGAAAATTAAGTAATGTCTCAAAAGCAGGCTCTTAGATGCCCAAAATGCATATCCATAGGGTGTTTTGCTCTTGCTTTACTTTTTCAGTTTGTTTATTTTCATCAGCCTTTAAAGAATGATAGTTCTATTCTTTTTATATTGGACTTGTCAAGAATATTAAGTTATTCCCAGTTGAAACTTCAAAGTAGATGCTTATTGCAACTTTTCCTGAGTTTGGGCCTAGGATTTTTTTTTCTATAATACAGAACCATGTTTAGGTAAGCAGCTTATGGAGAAACATTTTGGGTGACAGACAACTATTAGGATAGCAATTTTTTTTTTTAATACATTCAGAAGAGAAGTATGCCTTCAATTTAAATTTGAAAAAGTATCACCAGTTTTCAAATATTGGTCAGCATTCTAAATTCTATTTGTAGAGATTCAAGTTCAGGTTTATTATAGTAGCTGAGAAATGTTTTACACAAACATAACGTATGTACATAAAATTATAAAATGCAAAGAAATTAAAAACCAATTAAAAAATCAAATAGATATGAAAACTGTTTAAAAGAGTTTAAAAGCAAACCTTAAGATACTAAAAACATAATGAAACATTAAAAGAAAATTATTATTATTATTATTATTATTATTATATTATTATTATTATTATTATTATTATTATTATTATATTTTTTTTCATGCCCCTCTCAGCTCAATAACTTAGTAATAATAGCACATTAATAAAATATAGTTATTTGAGTATTGAGAGTTAAATTAAGAACCCTCAAACTATTAAGAAAAACTTTATAAACCACAACTTCCAAGAGAATCAAAGGTTAAAGTTGGGTCATACATTGATTTACCTATTGAAGAACAATACTCATTGTGCCTTTTACCTGAACCTTAATATTTAATTCTATGGATATTTTAAATGAACCTGATCATTTAAAATTAAAGTTAAAGAGAGATTAAAGGGATTAAAGGTAGAATGAACCCAAGATTAATTCTCACTTGTCTTACCTTGATACAAAAGCCATACTCGGTGGGTGTGTTATACTGTTTTTTGCCTTGGGTTATATAATAGATGACTGATTCATTTATGTCAACACAATATTGTAAATGCCGGGGGTCCTAGCATAAGGGAGGAAAGAAAACATACTGTATGTATATATATATATTTATATACATAGAACTGAATTTAGCATCTGACGCAAAAGTCAGTATCCTACTAAATTAAAATATTTTTTTTCTTTGTCCAGAAAAAAGTAGCTTTCATAACTACTAAAAATAATTTAAAAATTTATGGACTAGGAGGACTATGTTTAATTGTTTTGTGTAGTCCCCATCCCAGTTCCCTAAATAAAAGAAAAAAATGTGCACATGTCCATAACAATACATGTTTTTAATTTCTGAACAGACACAGCATAGCAGTCAAGAAACATTCATATGTCATCAGTTCCTTGAATTCACCAGTAGATTTTAGAAATGTGGGAATAATAATATTGAATACTTCAAACAGGATTACTGAGAAACTGAAGACAAAATGTATCATTATCAAAGATGAAAGTTATTATGTATCTTATTTTACTTGGCCTTAAACATATTTTACATTCAGTGAATTCCAGAAATCCATAATGTTTGAGAAGCATACTGTAGATTTTACTTCTCTTAGTGTCTGATTTGTATGACAGTTTCCGTTTGGGCATATCAAGTTCGAGATCGCCAGGTTCTGCTATCCAGCTTCACACAAACACCATTATTTTAATGTTGCTGATGCCTAATCCTGATTGCTGTTTTCCTTTCTGGGAAAACTGTTGCAATACCCACTCAGAACTGTTGTCCATAGCAAAAAAACCAAACAAAAAACAATTACATCTTGCACTAACAAACTTACTTTTGACATGCCTTTTGTTGAGTAATAGAGCCCAGAACGCCGGAGAGAAAAGTAAAATCTTTTCCAGGCTTTGCGCCCAACTTCCTTCAGATTCAGGAACCCTTGGATTTCAGGGCAGCTTCCTGAATTTAGAACATTCTGGGGAAAAAATGGATTTAAAGATTCAGGCTGCATTACAAATTTACTGGTAGTTTTCCTTGATAATGATTCTAATTGCTTCTTTTTGAGTGGTGGGGAATTATGGGAGGAGGGAAAATTATGGCAGAAGTTCTGTGTTGCATGATTTAGATTTGTAGCATGCAGCCCTGGGAATATGAAATGTTTCTAAAATACCTGTTGACATCCTGCTGTTTGCTGAGCTTAGTTTTCTTCTTGTATATGTTTCATAACCAAACTAGATAATATCATTGGTACTTTGACACAAGGGAGTCTGGTTTGTTTTATTTTCTCCTTAAAACTCCTTAAAGATGTTTTCGTTGTCAAAAAAACCACAGTAGTAACTTGGTACTCATTGCTAATTCATTCTGGACAGAGCATTAATTACTACAAATGATGAGTACCAAGCAAACCATGTGACTTACCACATGACCCTTTATTTCAAGAGGAAGGAGTAGCAAGTTATGAGGTAGCCAACGCCAGCAAGTTCTACCTTGTGTGCCAAACACCCAGAGAAAAATGAGCCGTAGAGCAAGATTTTCTCTTCAAACTGCACTGAGTACAAAATTCAATGAGTTTTGAAGCAGTTGAATACCAAGATATGACTGTTATTTCATCAGGGATAGAGCAAAAAAAATGTATTATATATTTTGAAAATCCAGGTGTACACAACATGCATTCTCATGTGATCTCTGTTACCCATTCTGTACCATCTCCACCCCCCAACACACCAAGTCATGTTATCATCACAACTTGCTAGCAAAAATTCAGGTTTGGGACAATATGATTGGTTAGATCTACTCTGCCTCATTTAAAAACAAAACACAGAACTATCATACCTGAACTATGAAAATTTAGATGACTACCTGATAGCAGCAAGTCATTAGCTACTAGTTGGATTTTTGTGGACCACATATAGTAGCCCTAGGTTTTTCCAGGGTTTGGTAATGGATGCAGAGTGGAAATTAAAGGGCAAAATGTATGTCTGAAGCCTCCTTTCATCTTTTAAACTCTTTCCAAACTCCCAGAAATCACTACCACACCCCAGAGGCCAATAGGTATACTTAATATACCTTCCAGAAACAAAAAGCTGAATATCCAACCATAAAAGGTTGACATAGTTTAAGTTCAAGTGATATTTTAAAAATGAAAAATATAAGAAGCAATAATATATTTAACACAGTATTAAGTATTACAGAGTAATTTCTGGAAAATTCTTGTCCTTTATGAATTTGTCTACTGTTTTTAAAAAATTAAATCCAAAATTAAGGCAATGGATTCTTTTAATATAATTGCATGCTTTGTGGAGAAATACATTCACTTCTCTGGCTAGAATTGGTTGCCAATAAATAAATAAATTTTACAAGAAAAGATTTGAACAATTTATTTATATTGTGCAAAATTTTACAGATACAGTACATTCCATCTGTTACCTTTCATGATGGATAAATAACTAAGGCAATATAACTTATATTGCAAATTTCTGGCTGTTTCCTGCCCAATATAAAGTGTCAGTAACTAGTTTCTGTATCAAAGCATCCAAGATCTCTGTTTTCTCCTTTTGAATGAAAGAGGAACTGAAAAACCTCTGAATGAGTAAAGCAGGAATGACCCAAGTTCCCTTTTGCACATCCAGGATTGCAAACATTTTTTCTTGTAAATGTGTGACAAACTGTCAAAACAGACACTTGGTATCATGATTTTTGAAGAGGGAGAAATGTTGCCAAAATGTAGAAATCTCTGTTTTACATAACCAAAGCCCCCAGAGCAAAAATAGTTAACCAAAGATGAGTACATCTCTCCTCAATGATATCACCAAATCGCAATCACACCTCCTGTGGTCTATATTTTAGCAGGCCTTTGGGATTTGAAGGGGAGTTTTTGTCTCATTCCCTCTTGAGAGTGAATATTTGTCTGAATAATTTATCCTCAGCGTTGGGAATTTTGTTGTGATTCTATCTATAGAATCCCTTTTTAATATTGTTTTAATCTTATTACTCATCTATATAATCTTACTACGAGACCTATAAACTATCATGCACACACAAACAGAAGCTTCTGAAGATACACACACACAAACAAATGTATGTGCCAGTGGTGAAATCCAAATTATTTTACTACCGGTTCTGTCGGCATTGCTTGGTGGGTGTGGTGTGGCTTGGTGGGCGTGGCAGGGGAAGGATACTGCAAAATCCCCATTCCCACCCCACTCTGGGGCCAGCCAGAGGTGGTATTTGCCCGTTCTCCGAACTGCTCAACTACCAGTTCTCAGGAACCTGTCAGAACTTGCTGGATTTCAACCCTGGTATGTGCCTTTATATATACATGTATGCAGTGGTGAAATCCTCTGTGGGTTGCCACCGGTTCATTGCCTGCGCATGTGCGGTGCACACCAAATGCGCGGTGCGTGCATGCGCATGTGCAGTGCGTGCCAAATGCGTGCTTCACACAGAAAAAGAAGCCTTTTGAAGGTAAGTAGAATAACGGGGGGGGAGGGAAACAGCTGTGCCACACTATTTAGATTTGCTAGAAAGCTGAATTTCCTGCTTTCTAGCAAATATAAATCACGCGGCACAGCTGATCGTTGGAAATACCAGTTTGCCCAAACTGGTAGCTTTTATTATTACCAGTTCGCCCGAACCGGTGTGAACCGGTAGCATGTATATATAAGTGCACCCCTGCATGTATATATAAGTGTCACCCCCAGCACAAAAAGATTACTTGTTTCTTAGGTAAAGGAAAAAGATAATTACCTGAATGAGTTCTAAGTGGGACATGCCTTTATTAGCTGCATCCTGACATCTGGAAACCATAACTTCAGGAAATATTGATTGCTATGATAGGGAAGAAAGGAAAGCAGAATAAAGTCATGCATTTGGACTGTCATATGCTGTATCATGGTGTCCTTAAATATACTGTTTTAATACCAAAGGGAAAAAGTGGTATGAGTGCTATGATGTGGATTTATTTTTAGATTTTTTAAAAAAGTTGATTGTGCTTATACTTGTATGTGGAAACCCCTACTAAAATTGTAAAAGTTTGGCTTTCAAGTTTCCACAAATGTTATTTTATGTTTACTCGTTTTTTGTGGGGGAGGGGGTTGGATATTTTTGGGTCAGCATCGATTCCTGTTGACTACCTGGACTATTCCTGCAATTTTTTTGCCATTTTTTTTTTCAGAAGTGATTTGTTTAAGTTTTAATAGCATGGAAGCTCACTTTGGGGAAGGAGGTAAATACATTTGCTGGAATATAGTACACATGTTGCTTGTATTATTATCACTTCTTTGCTTTATTGAAACAGTTTTCAGCTTCTGTACTCATCTATTTTCTCAAACTAATAGTGCTACAAGGCAAGCAGTTATGGATTACTGGTGATCTATGGCCCACACTGTGGGAATCATTATTTTTGGGATTAATATTAGAGATGTGAAATACAGTGTTTTTACTAAACAGTAGCATCAGGGAACACTATTTCATTTCTGAAATTTGGAATTGTTTAAAAATGAAAAAATGAAATAACTACAGGAATAAAATGATGTTTGTTGCTACTTTTAAGGTTGTTCCAACTTACTGGTGAGCTCTTGAACAGCTCATATTTAGCATAATTCTTCCGGAAGACAAACCGACTGTCACCTCCCACAGGCCATGTGGCCTGAACCTCTACCACAGACTCATGGTCTTCTAAGATCCGTTCTGGAGAAGACAATGGGAGAAAGAAACACACTACATTAACATCACATTCAGAGAGTCATTTAAAATGCTAGACACATATAGACAAGCAACTGGAAAAATCTGTTAGCCATCATGTTCAATTATCTGATCCCACTTTGTAACCTAGTTTTCCCCAGTCTCTGAACATTTTAGATTTCAGGTAGGGGAATCACATAGGAGTTTTTATTTCCTTTACATAGAAAATAGTTTTTACTCCTTTATATTCTAATTGTTTATGTCCTAGGAATTATTTTATATGGTGTATATCCTTTTACATGGAACCAACCCAGGGGTGGGTTTTACTCTTTGCTACCGGTTCAGTCGTGCGTGCGCCACTTCTGCACATGTGCAGACTGTATTTGATGATGTCCAGGCAGGTGGGAGGAGCCTCCCGCCACCGCTACCGGTTTCCCCGAACCGGGGCAAACCGGTAGCAACCCACCACTGGACCAACATATGTAAGCACTAGGCCCTCCCAAAAGGTGAACACTTAAGCATACTTGCTTTTTATTGCAAAAAGTTCATCTTTATTTTATTATTTTCATTTAAAATGTTTCTGGATATATGTGACAGAATGTGTGTTCGTGGGTATGAATGCATGTACATGCACACATATACTCGCAATCTGGATTTTCTTTCTTTTCCTCCTCACCTAGAGATAAGTGATGATAGACCTCTACCAAAGACCAGCAGTCATCATGTAAAGAATGGGTTTTCTGCACCAGCATCTCACAAACATGACGGGCCGTGGTCCCTGCTGTGACTTCCAAAGAACAGCAAGTTCGATCTTCACTGTAAACTTTTACTACCTGTGAGAACAGAAAAGGATCAGAGAATAAGCTCAAGGCTTAAGAGCCTTGGTAGTACAGGGGTTTAAGGCACCCTGTTATTAAGCTGGTTATTAAGACCAGCTGCCTGCAATTACTGCAGGGTTCGAATCTCGCCAAGGCTCAAGGTTGACTCAGCCTTCCATCCTTTCTAAGGTAGGTGAAATGAGGACCCAGTTTGTGGGGGCAATAAGCTGACTTTGTATAAATATACAAAAGGATGAAGGCTATTGCTGAGCACATTGTAAGCCGCCCTGAGTCTTCGGAGAAGGGCGGCATATAAATCAAATTAAAAAAAAAAAAAACACTTACTAGGACTGGCCTGTTCAATCCTGTGAGCAAAGATATAAGAATAACTTTTAAGAATTCTTACAGAAATACACATACAATTCATGTACTCCAGTTTCCTGGTTTTTCTTCTTCACGTTTTTTTTTAAACGTCTAAACAATAACAATATACAATAACTTATAATTCATTCTTTGAAAATGGTACTGCAGCAAAAACATTATACCCACAAAGAAAAACTCTGAAATATATGTAAAGAAGGTTAGAGAAGAGGACAGAATTTGCAAAAATGGCTAAATTGACTTGCTTGATTAGGAAAAAGATAACAAATACATTTGTCAGCGACTGGAAATCCTTCATGGACTTTTTACTGAAAATGGAAAAAAGGAACTTGTAATGTATGGGTTTCACAATTAGAAAGAATAGGATATGGAAAGAAGGGAACCATGATATAGCTATAGAGAGAAAGAATAAAATATAAATGCATGTATAATTGGTTTAAAGAAAATTGGAGGTCACTTGTTTATATCTTTTTTCATTTTATTTCTTTTCTGTATTTTCTCTTTTATGTTTTTCTTATTCATTTATCACTTTACTTTTCCTTTAAATTCATAATGTTTTTATCCTGTTTAAAAAAACCCTTCAATAAAGTTATTGTACTTTATTCTTAGGTTCAGTTTTTTCCTGCTTGACATAATTTCTGCAGTGAACTACAGATGGAAAAACGCATCTAACTGATGGTTCCCAAATTAATATGCAAACTGACACAATTTATTCGCAAAGAAGTTATCTGAATTTTGCAACGTAGCTCTCAACAACAACAAAATGTGTATATAGAGATCTATCAGGGGGAAAACACATACTAAAAAAGAATACAGTGAGATACATGTGCCTTGTTACATGGACATTTTATTAAAAGAATCATAAAAATGTAGGTTTCAACAGGAATGAATATGTGGTTCAAAAATATGAAAATTGAAGGAATCAAAAGACATTCATTTGTCTTTAGCTATGATGGCGATTTCAACATCATTGTCTATTGAAGAGTGATGACTATCAAGTTCAGTGAATAGTGAATTTGCAATAAACTATTGCACCAAGGAAAGTCGCAGACCCAGAGCCCTCAGCACTGTAGAGGATTCTATCAGCTTGCTCAGAAAAGAGAGGGATAAATTCTTCAGCAGATGAAAGTTAGGGAGAAAAAAATATTTTTGTTTATCCATATTCTATGTATTTCAAATGTTCAGATTGTTTCAGAAATCTCATTTATCATTAGCTATTACAACCTGATTTACAGGTGTATCAAAATGACCTGTTTGAGGCTTACATTTATCATGCATGAAGGCAACAGCCAAGCAAAATAGGAAAGGATGTTGCTTTCCTATCTCCTACATTCCTCCTACATGATGGAAACAAGATAGCTACTGGCTGGTTGCTGGTTGGCTACTGATGAAAATAAGATGTTTAAGACGATGTCAAATGACTAGCACTGATTTTATATTTTTATGAATGAGTCAGTTCTGAAACATCTCCGCTACACTTCAATTATTCCACAAGAGGGAGTAAATCTATTATTTAAGTAACAGAATTCAGTTAAATATATTCTGCTTAAAGATAATTGAGGATATATTGTTCAGTTTATTAAATGAGATTATCCAGAACAGTTTCTCGTAATTATTGATAGTCCTGTATTCTAATTCCTGTTGACAAAGGTGAAATGTATTATAAATGTACTGAGATTTTCTCTTTATTGTTATTTTAAATAAACATGATATTCAATATCATATATTCAATATGATATTTAAGCTCTTTAAAAAAAGGAAGGGATGGGATGTATTTTAAACATTCTTCCACAGTTAAATTCAAATTTTCAGGCTATTTAAAATGAAAAAAATAACAAAATCGTGTAAACACTCAGTGCATATTTTTAAATATATTTTATGTCCATTTAATTATATTGTTTACATTTCAACTTTTCTATATTTGTGTTTTTGTATAAAGGCTGTTAATAAAGGAGGGTACTTAATCCCTCTAAAGAACTGGATTCTAGTTCATCTAGTAAAAATCCATGTTCGAGATGCCAGTACTTGAATTATCAGACTATCATTATTATTTTCTTAGTCTCATGTTTTCTCCGAAACGTATGGAGAGAGAGAGGGAGGGAGGGAGAGGGGGGGAGAGAGAGATTGATTATAGGAAAACTACCATTAATTGGGGATTTTGATGAGAAAAAATCCTAATAGCAGTGTTTTAATGTATTCCTCACTCCTCCTTCCACAGTCTAAGGTGACCAGATGTCCCGCTTTTGGCGGGACAGTCCCGCTTTTGAGCAATTTGTCCCGCGTCCCGCGGCGTTTTAAAAAAGTCCCGATTTTTCATTCTGCCTCCTGAGTCCCGGCTGCCTCCTGAATCCCCGCTGATGGCTAGAGGGAAAAAAAACTCTTTAAACTCTTGCCGCGGGGCTTCAAAGGGCCAACCTACAGCTGATCAGTGTTAAAAAAAAATGAATAGACCCATGTCTGCAAAAATAGAAAAAACAGCCCCTGTTAACAGCTTCCGCTAGGTTAATTAGCTGCAAAAAGCTGCAAAAAGTTCCTGGAGCAGATTTCCCCCCCCCCTAGCTATACTGAAAACAAAGGCGAAAGCGAAACTAAACTTGCAAGGTGACAAAATGAGGCAGACAGAGATTTCTTTCTTTTTCTTTTTCCTCATCAAAAAAGGTAGGTACAAAACTGCAAACAATGGGAAATTTTGGGCAAAAGAGGAGAGTTCAAGATTTTAAAACACAAAAGAAAAAAAGCTCTATTTAACTAGGGAATTGTAATAATTGAGATACTATTAATAATTGTATATTGTGTTGAAAGCAGAAATGGTTAAGTTGTGGTTTGGAGGAATATATGGGGGAAATTATTTGGTTTATTATTATTGGTAAATATAATTAATTGATTTGTAAGAAATTGGATTGCATGGAAATAATTGGAATATTCATGTTCATATTGATTAATATACAAAAAAGATAGTTATATAACTAATTGATTTATATTAAAATGTTGAATTTGTATTAAACAACTGTATTACATAATTACATAATTAACCAATGTGAGGATGGATATAAAAATAGATGACAATGGGAAGGGGTATAATATAGAATAGAAGGGAAAAATTGAATTTGATTAAGATTAGAGATGAGGATGAAGGGTAATATTGTTTTTTTAAAAAAATAGATGAATAAATATGGCAAAAAGGAAATATAGAAATTGTAAATTTAATTGAAATGACTAAACGCTGTTTAAATTTGTGAACCAGCCAAATATTCTGTTCAAAGAAAATACATTGTATGTTTGTATGTGTGTTTCTAATTATTGCTATTTATTCATATTTGTTCTCTTTTATTCTTTAAAGTTTAACAATTCATTCTTAATCTTAATATCTTTATATTTGCTTGGGGTTGGCTTTCTTCCCTTTCATCTTTTTTATTGTACAGCAATCTTTCTCCTCAAACCTACCACCACTCTCTTTTCTTTCCTTCTTACTTTCTCTTCCCCCCACCCTCTTTTTCTCCTCCCTACTTCCTCTTCCTTTCTCCTTCTCCTCCTCTCTTCCTCCCTCTCTTACCCTCACTCCTACTCTAATTTCCATTCCTTCATCCCTCTCTATTGCTGTATCCTTTAATGCATATGGACTACTCAGAGGGCTGAAAAAGTTATTTTTGACTGGTCCTCACACTTTTGACCAGTCCTTGAACTTATGACTGTCCTCACATTTTACATTTTTGCCCTATCTTGTCACCATGGTGAAGAGAAGCAGTTGTGAAATGAGTGACATGGTTGTTAAGAATACTGCACGGGCATAAATGTGAGGATGGTCATAAGTGTGAGGACCAGTCAAAAGTGTGAGGACCTGTCAGAAATGACTTTTCAGCCCTCTGAGTAGTCCCTATACACATAGCCATGGCCACCCGGTCACATGGCCAGCTAGCCACGCCCACCCAGTCACATGACCAGCTAGCCACGCCCACAAAATAAGCCACGCCCACAATGTCCCTCTTTACCAATGTTAAAATCTGGTCACCTTACCACAGTCCAGGTATGAGAATGTTCCTGTTGCCATCATTAAGCATATCCATGCAATCACAGTGTCCCACGATCTCATGTTTGCTATTTGTGACTTCCTGCCAGCTTCTCCATTAACTTTGCTTGTTGGCAGTGGTGGATTGCTACTGGTTCACCCGATCCGGATCGGGCGAACCGGTAGTGGCAGCAGCGAGAGGCTCCACCCACCCGCCCGGATGTCTCTGCACATGCGCAGAAGCGTCATGTGCACACCCACGAGCGAACCGGTAGCGTCCAAAATTGAAACCCACTGCTGCTTGTTGGAAACCAATAGTGAGGGTCGCAATTGGCAATCACACATGACTACAAGTTACTGCAATGTCATAATTGTGAGCCAATTGTCCAGTGCCTGAATCAGTGATGAAATCTAAATTTCTTTTCTACAGTTTATGTGGGCGTGGCTTGTTAGGGTCACGTGACTGGGTGGGCATGGCTATGTAACTATGTGACTGGGGGATCAAAAGACAATGTCCTGCTGGAGCAGGTTTGGACTAGATGACCTCCAGGCCCCTTCCAGCCCTGGATTATCCTCTGAAACTGTGTCTAGTGCCAGGTTTGTAGTCCTTCCTTCCTCTCCTTTTTCCTTCCTTCCCTCCCTCCCTCCCTCCCTCTCTTTCTCTCTCTCCCTTTCTTTCTTTCTTTTCTTTCTTTCTTTCCTTCTTTTTCTTTCTTTCTTTTCCTTTTCTCTCTCTCTCTTTCAAAAACGGACACTCCCCCCACCCCCGTAAAAAAAAGGCTCCGACAATCACACGCCACAGCTGTGATCATCGGAGCCTTTTTTTACCTTTTAAAAACATTTTTTTACTACCGGCTCAGGTGGATAGGTAGTAAAAAAATATTTTAAAAAAGTTTTTAAAAAAGGCCCCGATGATCGTGCGGCACAGCTGTGATCGTTGGAGTCGTTTATTTACTGTTTTAAAGCATTTTTTTACTCACCTGAGCTGATAGTAAAAAAATGTCTAAAAAGTAAAAAAAAAAAAAAGTTCCGACAATCACAGGTCGCTCAGCTGATTGTCGGAACTTTTTAAAAACATTTTTTACTACCAGTTCAGCGAACCAGTAGGATTTTTTACTACCGGTTCGGACGAATCCGACCGAACCGGTAGCATTTCACCCCTGGCCTAAATCATGATAATATGACCAGAGCAGGAATGCCAAGATAGCCACAACTATTGAGAATTAATCATAAGTCCCCTCATTCAACACCATCATAACTTCAAATGGTTGCTAAATGAGTAGTAATTTAATGAGACTAGCTGTATACTCTAAATTTTGTAGCTAAATGGTATCTAATTTTCACCACGAATACAGATCCTTTAGTTAACAGCCTTGGACGCAAATTATATTTGGCTGACTTAAAGAACTGTAGGGAGGTGTGATGGCTCAGCAATTAAAGATGCTAAGCTTTTCAGCTGGAAAACTGACAGCCTGAGTTCGATACCTAGGCGCCACTCAATGGGATGAGCTCCCATTCCTGCCCACCTAGCAGTTCAAAAGCATGCAAATGCAAGTAGATTAATAGGTACCACTTCAGCGGGAAGGTAACAGCATTCTGTGCTCCTTTGGTATATAGTCATGCTGGCCACATGACGACATAAAATGTCTTTGGGCAACCCTGACTCCCTTGGACAAGAAACGGAGATAAACACTGCATCCTAGAATCAGACATGACTGGACAGGTAAACCTTTACCTTTTACATGATTGTAACTGTTAAGGATTGCTGTCATCACATATAAAGCTCTTGAAACAAGCATTCTACTATTATATTACACAATCATTCTTACCTGTTACCTATTACCTAAAGCCTGAAAATATCAATAAATATTACAACCTCTTGAAATTAAGTGTATCTCCTTTATGTCCCTTATTTCTAGAAAGACAAATATCTTGCATCATTATTCCTATATTTCCCCCCTTTGTTTTATATTTAAGTATTATATTATTATTTCACACAAATAATACTATGTTTTTGGAAAGTGTTGTGGGCATCAGTCAGTGGAAATCTCATATTTAATTTTTAATGTTGCTTTTGCTATTATGATTTCTGTTGATGTTACTGTTGATAACACTATGCAATGTTGAAAACAGTATTTATACGCTAGTGATCTGATAGCTTTTATAAAAAATTCCCATTATCATCCAGGTTTTAGGGCAAACAAATTTAGATTTTGCTAAGTTCCAAACCAGTGAGGACTGTACCAAAGGGATAGCTATAGTCCTTTGGTGAGTCGCTTTTGCACAAGTTCCCAAAGGTATGCCACCAAACAGCAACACTGCACATTCCTTGCAGGTATTTAAGATGAAAGGCATCCTTCTTGCAAAGACTTGGCAGCTACAAAAAGTAATTTAAATTCCATGAGAAATATTAGATTTTAATAGCTATACTACATAAGTAGTGGGTTCTATGTCTTAGTTTATTACATTAGCTAAAGGTATGCCTTTAATTGCACTGAAATCTAGAAAATTATTGTTTAAATTAGCATTGATGGCTGAAGGTTAATAGGCAACCTATGTCCACTGATCCATGCTAAAGCAGGCTAAGAAACATTTAGAATACAACAAACAAATAAGAAATAAAGTGGTTTTTGCCACTAGCACTAAGCACTTATCTTTGGAAAGGAGAGATTATGCACTTACAGAATGTATTTATTTATGAGGGCTATAACATACAAGCTATAAAAATAAGTAACATCACTGGATGGCAGCAAGGATTTGAAGTTTTCTTTGTGAATTGGCTGCTATCTAGTGGGCATCAGCTTTTTGTAGCCCAGATATAGTACACCTAACTTATTTTTCAATAATAATTTTCAAATTATTACTTTAGGGAATTACAACTTTAATAACATCTTGATCAACAGAAGCTATTAAGTGAAAGGCAGTTTTGTTTTTATAGTTTGCAGTTAAAAAATCATCATGGGTTGGGGTGGGCGAGGGTGCAACCTGTAACTTCCAGAAGGCTACTAAACGTAGCTACCATGGCTTCTACAAAATTGGAGCTGCTAAAAGTTATACTTCAAAAATATTTGGAGAATCACTGTTTTACCATTGCTGCCCTGAAGACTGCAAATGAAACTTCTATTAATACAAAAGTGTAGGGATCAGATGAGAAAGCAAGAAGCGTTTAGTTTATAAAAATGTATGGTCACTGGTCACTTTCAGAGATGAATAATAATGCACAGTGGCTTCATCATCATTATCTTGTCTGTTCCTTAGTACTTGGAAATAAAAATGTAGAGAGTGAAATCAATGTGTTTCTGAATTGTGAAAAAACATCTTCAGTGTTGCTTTCTAAATTCAATCTGTGGCTTCTTATCACAGACAACTTGACCACTACTTTCCATGCTCTTCTATATTCCATAGTAAATTACTGTACTACAATACATGATATATGGAGCTTCCTGTGAATGTTTAATATGTCCTTTTAAAGGCAGGGGAAATGAAATCAGTTCCCACATATGAAATGGAGTTAAAGTATCAATTAAAATTTGAAATGGTCAGCTGGATCAGTACTTTTTACTGAAAGCAATAAATCTAATCAGTTACAATATAATTTCAAGAACTCTTCACATGTTAACACTTGAGGATACCAGTGTTATGAGAAATGGTGTTCTATTTATCAGAATTACTATGTAAAATTGAAAGAAAGACTATCCTGTCTCCATGAAATAATCTAAATTTAAAATGGAAATGGCATTCTTGATTGACTGGGAATCCTATAATGGAGATAAAATGAATTTTAAATTTTAAGCAATACTTCTTTGGGGTACATCTAGAAAGTCCTATAGAGATGATAGTGACATTCTCACAGTAAGGCTTGCTGCTTTTTCTTAATACAATTCTGATGTCTCTTACAGTTCACCATAGTATTGCTCTTTATTGTGATATAATGTGGATTATTTTATTTAATAAAAACATATATTATTACAATATTTATTAGCAATCATAACCAGACAGCAAGAATAAGATGCTTTTAAAATGCCTTTGATGTGGGCACAGGCAGGCTAGCATACCAGCTGATAGTAGATTATCAGATGATTTGTCAGCCTGCCTCTGCCTCACATCAAAGTCCTTTTTTAAAAGCATATCTTTAGATAAGAAACCAAAGAGACATCAAGTGGACTCCAATACTTACAAAGCAGCTGGAAGCCTTCCATTCCATAATTAAAGACTCCTAGCCGATGCTCCCAGGCTAGTTAAACAAAACCTGAGAATCCTGGCAACAATTTCTAAGGGAACCAGCTTTGCCATATCTTGTCCTATGAACTCAGAGTCCAAAGCTGTAATTTTCTCTTGACTGTTCTGTCCATACTTTATGGAAGGGGAAAAACAATGGATAACACTGAATGTTATGGATTCAACTGTCAGCTCTTGAGAACAGAGCAGACCCTGGAATTTAGGGTCAGATTATGTTGTAACAATATTCTAAAAACTAATCATTTTGATGGATGTTTCATATAGAACAAAGGAATAATTGGCTAACTTTTTGCAACATGGTTGGCTGAAACATGGTTAGCTAATTTGCAACTCACTGTGTTAGGATGGAACTTAACTAAGAATTTCAGGGAACCTTTAGAATTAACAAGAAAACAAAATACAGTATTTTTTAAAGATATTGAAAATTGAAACAAACACAGAAAAATAAGGAAATACATTACAAGAGATCTCCAGGTTTCAAACGCAAATTGATATGCTAAAGGATTTATTTAATTAAAAATGGTTGATAAAAATAGTGTCTGGATTCATATGTTGCATGAAACAAAATAAAAAGGAACACATCTGCACAATGTGTGAACCTAGCCAATTATAATACCTTGTCAGGTTATTTAGTTATAAATCATTCTTACTGTGGGCCAGCAGGCAATTTTCACTTAATTTTTATACATGATTGCCCTTTTTTTTTTTTTTTTTTGGTAATCCTGCCAAAATGTACCTTGGTACGCTTTTTATCATCCCTAAATTGTAAGACTCAAAAACAACCTCCCTGAAACTGGTTCCTTTCATCAAAGACCGTATCACTTGGAACCTGTGGAATTGAAATAAATCATTTGTACCAGCTACATAGGGAGAAGCTACTCTAAACTTGGCAATGGCTACTCTAAATTTAAGGATGGCTGTAATGAGAGGAAAAGATCTTCTAGGCCTATCTTCAAAGGCATCTTTACTATGCTTCTGTTTTATTCCACCTTTGCAAAAACAAATTTGAACCTGTAAAATTCTTTTAGGTTTCTCCTAAGAGTTCAATCCCTAAAGATTTCCATATCTTCATGAAATTTTCTTGAATACTCATGGTCTTTTTCTGAAATATTTTCTTGGTTTACAGTTTAGTCTTTATCCTGGGATTATCTAGGAACCTCATCTTTTCCCAGATTAGTCAAGTCAAATAAGTACTGCCACCTAGCTGGACCAGCAAGGAGAAACTGGTATAGCCCTGGGCCATCTTCCTCTTCTCCCAAATGCAAATAGATACACTTACATGAGAGCCACCTTCATGCTGTGATCCTGGCCCCAGGGTGGAGCTGGTGAGGATAGGAGAGTTTGAGGGACTACAGAGTTCCGGAAACGGGTTTGGGATAGAAGGCAAAGATAAGGTATGAGGCTTTTCCTCCTTCATTTTTCTAAAGGAAAAGAATGGAGAGATTGTTATAAATGGGTTAGCTACTAATAAGGCATCTGAGTTAGTCATTATTGTTGTTGTTGTTGTTGTAAGCTTTTTTTCTAACAAAATTTGTATTCTGTCAGAGCTAATCTGCTAATCATGTTATTTATATGCATAGCATGGCTATTATTGAAACACAAATGTTTGCACATCTACCAAAGTATCTCAGGCATCATAAGAGGCAAGAAGTAGGTATACAGTCAGGTCCAGAAATATTGGGACATCGACACAATTCTAACATCTTTGGCTCTATACACCACCACAATGGAGTTGGAATGAAACAAACACAATGTGCGTTAACTGCAGACTGTCAGCTTTAATTTGAGGGTATGTACATCCAACTCAGGTGAACGGTGTTGGACTTACAGCAGTTTGTATATGTGCCTCCCACTTGTTAAGGGACCAAAAGTAATGGGACAATTGGCTTCTCAGCTGTTCCATGGCCAGGTGTGTGATATTCCCTCATTACCCCAATTACAATGTGTGGATAAAAGGCCCAGAGTTCATTTCAAGTGTGCTATTTGCATTTGGAATCTGTTGTTGTCAACTCTCAAGATGAGATCCACTCTCAAGATGAGATCTTCACTATCAGTGAAGCAAGCCATCATTAGGCTGAAGAAACAAAACAAACCCATCAGAGAGATAGCAAGAACATTAGGCATGGCCAAAACAACTGTTTGAAACATTCTCAAAAAGAAGGAATGCACCGGTGAGCTCAGCAACACCAAAAGACCTGTGAGACCATGGAAAACAAGTGTGGTGGATGACTGAATAATTCTTTCCCTGGTGAAGAAAACACCCTTCACAACAGTTGGCCAGATCAAGAACACTCTCCAGGAGGTAGGTGTATGTGTGTCAAAGTCAACAATCAAGAGAAGACTTCACCAGAATGAATACAGAGGGTTTACCACAAGATGTAAACCATTGGTGAGCTTCAAAAACAGGAAGGCCAGATTAGAGTTTGCCAAACAACATCTAACAAAGCCTTCACAGTTCTGGAACAAGATCCTATGGACAGATGAGACCAAGATCAACTTGTACCAGAGTGATGGGAAGAGAAGAGTATGGAGAAGGAAAGGAATTGCTCATGATCCTAAGCATACCACCTCATCAGTGAAGCATGGTGGTGGTAGTGTCATGGCGTGGGCATGTATGGCTGCCAATGGAACTGTTTCTCTTGTATTTATTGATGATGTGACTGCTGACAAAAGCAGCAGGATGAATTCTGAAGTGTTTCGGGCAATATTATCTGCTCACATTCAGCCAAATGCTGCAGAACTCATTGGACGGCGCTTCACAGTGCAGATGGACAATGACCCAAAACATACTGCAAAAGCAACCAAAGAGTTTTTGAACGGACAGAAGTGGAATGTTATGCAATGGCCAAGTCAATCACCTGACCTGAATCCCATTGAGCATGCATTTCACTTGCTGAAGACAAAACTGAAGGGAAAATGCCCCAAGAACAAGCAGGAACTGAAGACAGTTGCAGTAGAGGCCTGGCAGAGCATCACCAGGGATGAAACCCAGCATCTGGTGATGTCTATGCGTTCCAGACTTCAGGCTGTGATTGACTGCAAAGGATTTGCAACCAAGTATTAAGAAGGGAAAGTTTGATTTATGATTATTATTCTGTCCCATTACTTTTGGTCCCTTAACAAGTGGGAGGCACATATGCAAACTGCTGTAAGTCCTACACCGTTCACCTGAGTTGGATGTACATACCCTCAAATTAAAGCTGACAGTCTGCAGTTAACGCACATTGTATTTGTTTCATTCCAATTCCATTGTGGTGGTGTATAGAGCCAAAGATGTTAGAATTGTGTCGATGTCCCAATATTTCTGGACCTGACTGTACATATGGGCCTTGCATGACATGGCAAGTGGTCTAGTCCCATAATACAAAGTCAATTGCTCCTCATAGAAACATGGTGGATACAGTTGAGTGTGCTGTACAGCACTGGAGGTTTTGAAAAAGAGATTGGACAATCTTTTGTCTGAAACTGTCTAGGGTTTCCAGCTTGAGCAGAAGGGTGGACTAAAAGACCTCCAAGGTCCTTTCCAAGTCTGTTATTCTGTAGCCAGAACCAAATGTCGATGAGACACTCATTATCTCCTGGAAATCTCTATTTTTTCCCCCGATACCCTTCTATTTTTTTATCCCACAAGCAGCAAGCTGCAGAGAAGAGTCAGATAATTCCTACCAGAAGTCTGAACTCATCTCTTGCATATAATTAAGTATTTCAGATCAATAGATCACATTCAACATTTATTGCCCAGACTTTAGATCACTCTGTACTTGTTCACAAAGAGCTCATTCAACAGTCAGTAGACTCGGCAAACTTGCTATATCCATTTTTGTGTGTCACTAGTACTGTGAGCAGACAAGAAAGCAAATATTTAATTCTTTTGGCTTTTTCTTCCCCAATCCTTCTGTGTTACTTCAGGTTTGTAATCTGTATGCATGGCCATTACTGAGGATGAAAGTTTGCACATCTACCAAAGCATCTTGAGGCACCACAAGAGACAAGGTGTGCAGATTTATCTGAGCAGTTACCAAGGAATTCAAAATGCTCTACATGGCATGGCAAATGGTCTAGCACTGCAGTTCAAAATTAACTGATCCTCAGTTTCAGAATTAAAATGAAATCAAGTAACTTTAGATCAAGAATGTACAAGAGAGCATGTCCTAAGAAGTAGCAGAATGGCTGATTCCAACCATGTTTTTGTTTTGACCCAAATGGTCAACTCAATTTAGTTTATTACATTCATAGACCAGAGACCAGAACAAGTAAAAACACTCAGTAAATATACAATTAAAAATTCTAGTATAAAATAATAAATAACATCTAAAATCTATGATAAAATCCAGTCTGTCAATTATACATGGTCTAACTATACTAAAATTACAATCCATAAACTGTGTGGTCCTTTGTCAGTTTAATACTAAGAGGGAAAGGAATAAGCAGTGCAAAGTGTTTGCCATGTTTGTTATATCATATAACTATGGTTGAGTAGACTCATGTTTCCGACGAATTCCCAGTGCTGCTGTGCAAAAGGTCACTGGCATGCAGACTCAGCAGATTATCCAAAAGTTAATGTGACTCTCACATTATCTATCTATCGTGTCAAACAGAAGATTTACATGCTACCTATTAATTTTGGTTTTAATATTTCATTTTGATCATAAAGTGATAAATTTAATAAACCATAGATAAAACTAATAATCTATTTCACTTGTTCTACAACTAACAGAAGAAGGTATCAGCATATGAGCCACATCTCATTTTTTTACTATTTCTAGATGAGATACAAACGTAAGTTGCAAATAATTAATTCAAAATATAGAAAGCAGATTTCAAGACTTCCCATAATTTTTCCTATTTTTCAATTATGTGGAAAATACAAGGCAGAGTCATTGCATTATTCACTAATAAGCTTGGTGTATCTTATACTCTGCTCATATTCAAAAATATTTTTTTATGAATAATTATTTCTGGCACTGATTCCAGAGAAAGCTGAAAGGTCAGACTAAATTTTCTCACCACTGATTTCTATCTCTACAAAAACAAACCTTTTGTGGTATCACAATGATTTGCTCCATTGTAACATACCTATTTGCTTCGATGAACAGAGGTTGAGAACGCTTGATCACATCAGTATGCGTCAGAAAGTTGCTCTGCTCATCATTGCTAAGGGTTCCAGTATGATTAGATGGCAGGTCACCTTCATAAGACTGGCCCAACATCCTGCTAAGGGTTTTTTTGGGAATTCCACGATCCATGTCATTATCTGTAACAAATAACAATTTGACTAACTCTTCCAAAGTACGATGATGCAAATACCCAGATAGAACAAGATTCTGAGGGGTAAATGCAAGTTGTTTTTAAAGCAATTCTTCAAAACATGATCACATTTCATTTTCTTTCTTTCTTTCTTTACATTAAAAGTTGCTGTTTTGGGGAAGTGACAGGATCATGTAGTTAAATATGTGCACACTAAAGTTTTGTAACACTTCATATTCAAAGGGCAAAAAGATGTGCATGGTTAGTGAAATGGTTAATGGTGATGGTTAATGAAACAAGTAACCACATCCCCACCCCAAATATTATTACAATTATCCCATTCTAGCTTAAATTAGACCAGGGGTGTCAAACTCAAGGCCTGGGGGCTGGATCCGGCCCACAGGGTGCTTAGATCCTAAGCTCCATTTTCGCTGGCAGAGGGTTGCAGGAGGCCCTCACAGCCAAAAATGGAGCTCGGGAGCCCATTTTCCTGGCAGAGACCTCAGGCCACCATAGGCTCCCCCAACATGAGTGACATCGAGTTGGCCACACCCACCCTGCCCCCCCCCCAAGGTCAAACGCAACCCTGTTGCAGCTCTCAATGAAATTGAGTTTGACACCCCTGAATTAGACAGTAAAAGGCAACTCAAAAGTTGCTTATTTGTAAAACATATGAATCACCTTCAAGTTCTCAAAGCAACATACACAATTAAAAACATTGTTTGTGCTGCTGAAAAATGCATTGTTACCGTCTTTGGTAAAGTTCCAAGGGAAATTATCTTCCCTGAGCTAATTTTGGTAGCACTGCAGGAGCATAATAAATGGAGTTATAACCCAGCAATCTCACCAAGGCAATTAGTCAGTGATCTGGTTGACAAGGAAAAATAGCATACAGGTAACCAAATGAATCCAATGTCAACTCGCAAAGCATCCCTGGCCTGCTCTCTAGTTGCCATTGTTTTAAGTGACAGTATTAGGGCATCGGTCGGAATCCATTTCATTCTCTCCTCTAACTTCACAGAACAATATCAGCTCTAGAATATCTGGATATGAGTATTGTCAATGGGTTCCCTTAAACTCAAATATTATAATGATGAGGTAAACCATACAGAAGGCACATAGATAATTGTACAGTTGATTCAAGTCCCAAAGGAGAATAGAAGCCTCAATTCATTCTTGTGAATAATGAGTATAAGATGGCAGTATGCAAAACAAATTTGCATTAAAACAAACAAGATTTGTTTTAAGCATGAATTCTTGAATAATGAAACATATGGTTATATTAAGTTATAAACTCATCACATTGTGCCAAAACAAAGCAACCCACATTATGGCTTAGTATAACATGTGACACATAGTCATTTAATTTCTCAGTTTTATTTAACTTCAGTTATCTTTCAATTTCTGAACATTTATTTCCGCAGTATCCAGAATATAGTGTTTTATATAAATTGCAGGACAGTCTATGTGGCTAGTCCCACTACTTGGCTTTTGTTTTTGTTTTGTTTTTTGTATGCAACTATCCCAATGTATACTATGTTGAAACACAGCAATATTTTTATTTATTTTGATTTGATTTAACCCAACCTTATTTATAAGAAACTTAAAGTGGCCGATGTACATAATACGTCTTCTCGCTATTTCCCCCACAAGAACAATCCTGTGAGATGGGTTGGCTTGAGAGTGAGTGAGTGAGTCGGCCAGGGTCACCCAGCCAGTTTACATGCTTAAGGCAGGACTAGTAGTCTCAGTTTCCTAGTTTCTAGGCCAACAGCTTAACACTACACCAAACTGGCATTTTTACACAAATCTCCAAATATAATCTGATTTATATGCAGTTTTTCCAAATATAAACTATTGCTGCCATCTGGCTCTGGTTTTTTTGCTTGTACTTCATTGAAAAATATAACATCCAGTATATGCATTAATATAAACTTAATGATTATTGTAATATGGGAGAGTGGTATAAGAGGATCACATATGCAACAATGCATTGACAGAAGATTCAGTAAGAGTATAACAATCAGGCTTAGGTAACCTCTCTCTCCTCCTAAAATAAACTCTGCCCAGTCCATTCAAGCAAATTATAATGCCAGTGCTGCTGTATGAATTAATACCAAGGTCCAAATTATAGGCATATTTCTGAAAAGAAAACAGATACATTGGAAGAACCCAAATATGAAATTATATAATAGCCTCACCCAGCCTGATTCCTTTCCAGATGTATGATCTTCAATATCCAAATTCTCCAGCTACCATGGTTACTGTTGTCAATAATGAGAACTAAAATCTATACTTCTGAAAGATAAACCAGGCTGGGATTGGGGACAAAAAAACCACCCCATAATATACAAGATTCTTTCCCAGAATTTAATTTTTAGAAGATGTCTCCAGCCCCTTTGATATACAGGAAAAGTGCAGAAATATAATTTTCTACCAAATTTCTCAGGTGATATTTATCATAGTTTTTGTAGGTACTTTATCAAATCTGCTGTGCTTTTCTGACAAAGAAAAGGCTTTAAAACCATTAAATCTAATAGATTAGGCAACAGATCTTCTAGGAAGATGTATGACTGAATTCATTAGGATGTATGCCTGGATAAAACTGTATAGAATTATAAACATCATTCAGATAAAAACTGTCTGGGAAATGGAGAATATATAAAATTGAATTGAAAAAAATAAAGGAATACATACTGAGGACATCATCTGTGTCAAAAGAAATCAGTGACATTCAGTCACATGAGATCAATATAGCTATAAATCTAAGTGGATCCAAGCACTACTAACCTTAGAACTTTGTGCCAGTTTGCATAAGGTTTCATGTGAGATAAACATATTTCAGTGTCAGACTCTTTGCAGGTATTTCCTCCCCAAATGCAACAGGTAGGTCAATGGGAAAATGCCTAGTTCATAGTCACATTTCTATTTATCCATTTTGATTCAGATGTATATATGTTTTTACTACTCAGCAGAATTTTAAAAGAAATCTAGCTCCCCTAATGTTCATTTCCTCATTTACCCATACTTCATTATTAGAATCAGGTAAAGGTGACTCAGGAGTTCTTCTTTGGGTCAAAGATGCAATGATGAAAGAGTTCAAAAAGCAATTCAGGTGGCACAGAAGTTATCAGAAAGTCTAATTTCACACGCCCTTTGTTGTATTGTGCCAACCACTTTTGTGCCTCCTGGTGAAACTATGTTTGTTGCTCTAATGTTCTCATGAGAGTGACAAAGTGGCTGGGTATATTTTGATAAAGTACTCCACAAAAGTCTTTGTTGCAAATTATCATAGTTCGGCTTCAAGATGATACAAGAAAATTTGGCCAGCCATATGGAATCTTGCTTAACCTGAACCACTCTTGCCGTTCACAAAGAGCAGCAGAGAATTGTGGGGACATTGAAATCTTGTCCCTTCATGGGAAACTCTCCTAAGAATTGATATTTTGTCAGCCTCTAGTCAAAGACTTTTCACGTTTGCCCTCTCAGTGGAAAAACTACAAATAGCAGCCTATTTGTATTCAAGTCCTGCCTTAGTCATGAAAACCAGTGGGGTGACCTTGGGTCCTTACTCTCTCTCGGCATAACCTACCTTATAAGATTGTTGTTATGGAGAAAACAGGAGGAGGAAAGAGGATTAGATGTGTTCACCGCAAGTTGTTTTTAAAAATTAAAAAGGAGAGATATAATGAATGAATGAACAAACAAATAAATAAATACTGGTTCTTGACCAGTAGGTTTGCAGAATCCCAAATTACCAAGAACTTCATTGGTAAAACCACAAAAACTACTACTTTATGCAACAATTCTGTACAGATACATCTGCCCTCAAAAATCAATGTAAATTATTTTTGAGCTTTTGAAAGGCATTCTTAAAACTTATTCCCCTTACAAAAAATTCCTGACACAGATTGCATGGGCATACTTTTTTGTCACCAGAGCATAAATGTTGGTTATTTATAAGTCTGTCTGACAAAAAGAAGTGTGAAAGGGACAAAGATAAAATCTGTAGATTTCTTCATTCTCCCAAATGGAGCCTAAACAATCAGAGGCTCTCTGATTAAGAAAAGGCCTCGGCCTTCTCCAAAACAAAACAATAGCACATCCTGGACTATACCACTTCAGATTCCATGGGTGTGAGAGATCACGTGACCCAGCAGCTCTAAATTCAACAACAGAAATAAGCATGTTGGTGAAAATCTGGAGGAGGAGCCTACAAAGCATTTAATCATATTATATCTTCTCCCCACCCCCTAGTCTCTACTTTGAAGTGGCACAGGCATATTAGCAAACTAGGTCAACAATGCAACCATGAACAAATAAATATGAATAATGATCTAAAGGTAACTCAGTGGTTAAATTGTCCCACTACATAAATTAAACTTAAGCACATTTTAGTTTTGGATAGTACAATTACTGGAATTCAACTCTCAGCTCGAAGCAGTTTAGTTTGCACTTAAGAAAATGTCCTAAAAACAGGATCAGGTTCACAGATTAGGACTTTATAGTTTCCCACTCTGCAGGAATAATATATCCCAAATGGCATGTTCTTAGTTGATTTCTATGCACAATGCAGAGAATTCCTGAGAAAAATGGTGGCATATGAATTCTTCTTTAAATGTGAAGGATGTAAAAGCTGCAAGAAGTACATCATTTGTCTGAAAAGAAGATGTGGGTGAGAACAGATTACCATATGCCCTAGTTTAACTGGGATTGTCCCAATTAAACATGCATTGGTTTAAAAACTTTCCAGGAAATAGGGCTATAGAACAGCAAAGGGAAGAACAAAATTTGTCGCTCCCCTCCCCCCTTGCCTTTACAAGGAAAGGAAAAGAGTTTCAATAATTAAATGTGTGCTCTGGATTAACTGAATAAACTCCCTCCCTCCTTTGTTTTTGCAAATTATGCAGGCAAATGAAGAAGCATAGAAAGAATGCTAAACCGTCTGCCCTGATTTTACTGCTTAAAAATATAGTAAGTCTGGGAGTGCAGTATTGGGGGCAGGTGATGAACTTTTAAACCATTTGTATGTCCTCTCTTCATATTGTGTCATGGCTGGATTCACACATCATGTTAGGATAGGCTAAAATGGCATTGAATCATTTGTAATTCATCATGTTGGGGGAAGCCAGCCTTAATATGAGGACTAAATGTAATTTGATAAATCATAATAGGGATTATTTGGTTAGGTATAACATGTTACATGAACACAGCAACAGTTTTTGTTAAATTGGAATTAGGTTTCAGTGTTCTCTGTAAGCACAGCTTCTGTGTTCATATTTGTACTCTGCCACTTATTAAAGGTTTAGCTGATTAAAAAGTGCAAACTTACATATCACCAAAACGTAAGCAAACATAATTATCAGTATATTTGTGTAAATGGGGATGGGTGCATGTTGTAAGAAAACAGCAATGTATAATGGCTGAAATTAATTGAATAGGTTTTGCTCTTCCTAGATTTAGCAGCAAAGGCTAGGCCTGAGTAGGAAATGTTATAGGACTTTCAAAAAGGTGTTTGAAGATGCTATAACCATGGTTGCACATAACCATGAAGGCACCCCAAGAATTTCTTCTATCATGCTTTGTAAAACTGGTACAGGAAGTATCCTTACAGATGGTATTTTAAGAACATAATGAGACATAGGCAAGAATATTCTAGTAGGTTGGGACTAAACTAGTTAAAATTTTGCAAATTATATTCTGCACCTTTGCATTGTTAACTGTGTGGATATCAGAGCACTGGAGTCACAATGACGGGAGAAGAGAAATTGCTTTTAGCTTGCAGGCAAGCCTGCCCTAATTCAAGACCTGAGTAGTAGACAACCAACATTTATCTCTCTGGCACTTGTTTTCTACCAAAAGGTAGCTATTATTATCATTACTACTTTTTTTTTTTCTTACAGGCGCCAATATTGCCTCATATTCAATTCCAGCGGGACCAGACCAGTCACTAGGTATGAATCATCAACTCACGATGCTGGTTTGACCCTGCTTATCAAAATTGCACACCTGCATCTTTATAAGAGAAGTCATCCACCATCAGCCGTGATGAATACTTCAAAAACATGTATCTAAAAATCTTGCTTCGTTTACTACTGATCTGACACTGGCCAATTACACTCCCTGTCATTTTTTTGTGGGGGAAGGGCTGGGGAGTTAGGGAAGGATGTAGAAACCAGGTCTACCTTATTATCCGATCTGTTTCCCTTCCATCAAAAGAAACCAGTGAGTCAGAATGTGAGATAGTGATTCAGATCTCATACCACACCCTTTGTACCGGCTCAAGCATGTCTCAGCCTTCACATACCTGCACTATGTCTTCAAACTCCTTTTTTCCCTGGAGACTTGTGGGGGTTCAGGGGAAAACAAGCCAGTCTATCTCTGGACTCAACAGTAGATGTCTGATCAGTCATAATGGGTGTTACTTATTCTAATTTACTTGTTGCGATTATAAAAACATCTACCTCACTTTATAACCCACAAATGCAACCACTGAAAAAGCTAGTATTCTCAGCACTTGTTTATGTAGATTCTGGTAGTTCTTTTCACATGACATTACAACTTCGTGTTAGCTCAACTTGTACTAACTACAGGTACATCTCATGTAGGATTTGATTTTTTTGTTTTTTTTGCAAAAATACGGAAGTGGTTTGCCACTCCTTCTTAAGATTTTTTTTTTTTTACTTCTAACCTACCATTTGGATTTCCTGGTGGTTTGTCATCCAACTACTCACTATGTCTGAGCTGCTTAGGTTTTTTTCAGCTCATCCAATTTACGGTATGTGCTGTAAGAACCCAGCTATGCTGCTAGTAGTATTAGCTGCAATCAGCACTATGAATTGTACATAGAACAAAGTGTTGGATTTGAGGATCTTTACATTTCTTCCTACCAATTTCTATGATTTTGTTTCATTTTTAGCACTGGACAATCTCCAGTCATTATTTTTAGTTTTTCATCATTTTAATATGATTTCCTCAATTGAAATTCTCGTCCCTCCTCAGAGATGCTGTATTTGAGGAAAAGTATAGGCATAAAATGGACACATTCTGTATTTTGTTAATACAGACAATTATTATAACTACTTACTACTTTAGTAGCAATTTATACTCTATAAAGCTCTAGAATCCAAAATGATAATATTTTGTGTGTGACTAGCGTATGGCTGGTCACACACAAAATAATATTGTGTGTGACCAGCCATACGCTAAATAAATAATAAATAAATAAATAAATAAATAAATAAATAAATAAATCCAAAATGAAATGCTGAACAAGTTTTCATTTATAAATGAATAAATAACTGAATAAATAACTTTTGTAACTGAAAAGAAAGACACTGGAAACTGGAAACACAAAATCTTGACACTAAGCTTGATCATGTTTCTCTGTGCATTTTCTTGAACTTCAACATAATTTCCAAAGAGAAGATGCTACCCACTTTGCAAAATCTGGGAATTACACAAATATTTTGTATCTAACACATATTTTACAGAAGAAACAAAAGTTATTTTTAAAAGGCATAAATGAAATGGGAATAAAATACAAACAGTACATCTACATCATCAGGTTTTTCATTGCAAAGGCAGTCATGATTTACAAAGGGTTTACCATCATAAACAGCAGAAGTGCCAGCTTGGTGCTGGAGGAAAATGAATTACCTTATTGGCTAGCAGTCTGAAACAGGAAACATATTGGAGAAAAATTCATGTGACTTGCAGAGTATTTACAACTTTAGTACTGGTGCTCAATCCTTGCAATGGAGAAGAAAGAAAACATGATTCAATTCTGTTTTGTATTATTCTTGACTGATTGTGTGGCTGATTATCACTGAAAAAAATCTTTTAGCTAACAATGGTGGAAGTACAAAAATATCTATAAACGATAATTTATTATTATGAGTAGCAAATAAAAGCAACACTCAAGCAATAGAGATGAAGGAACGTAGTACTATAAAGAAAATGATTGTTCTGAAACAAGCTATGTAAAAAGATTTTTAAAAGGATTTAAGATGTTATCTTCACAACCAGTTTGATCTAGTGATTCAGACAGCAAGCTAGAAACCAGGAGAGTGAATTCTAGTCCCATATCTTAGGCATGAAAGCTGGGTGGGTGACTTCAGGCCAGTCTCTTTCTCTCAGCCCAACTCACCTCACAGGGTTGTTGTTGTTGTTGGGAAAATAGGAGAAAAGAGTATTATGTATGTTCACTGCCTTGAGTTATTTATAAAAATAATAAAGATGGAATATAAATAAAACAAACCCCAATGCTGCTGCCTTCTACCCAACAAACATCTAGTCTATGATTGTTAAAAATCTGTACTGTATCTGAAGATCAGAGATATACACACTGAGTCAGGTCAGTCTTAACTATCCCAAGGGCTATGCCAAATCAAACTTCCAAATTTCACAGCTTATAAAGACATACCAATTTGATTCTTGTCTAAATCTGTGAACAGCCAGAATTGTGAACTAAAGCTACAATTAATTCCTACTAAAAAGCCAGCACAGCTTCTGAAACTTCACTGAGATTGCTAATACTGTATTATCTATGTCTCATCGAGACCACTTTAAGAACTAAACAATTAGTCATAGTAAATTTGAATAAATTATAGACATATACATAAACACACAAATAAAGAAAACAAAATAAGTTCTATGTGGAACTTAATTGTATGCCTAACACCAAATATGCTTTTCTAGCAGTAAGCGGCAGTGTCCCATCCTGCAACTCAAGAAGTTGCCGGATGTTTTTTTTCCCTCTAGCAATCTTTTCTCTCTGTCTGACTCATCCTAAAATATTCAGACACAGAGAGGGATGCCCTGTATGAAATTAGAAAGTAAAATAAGTAAACAAATAAAAGAATAAGAGAAATAAAAGGGTGAGAGATACCAGAGGGGAGACATGGGAACCCCATTTAAAGTTTGAGGTTAAAGATGGAAGTCATATTTGAACGGATTGATGATAGCAGCAGCACATAAAATGTTTAGAGAAATCAAGACCAAATCATAGAGAATGATCCCCTTCCTTCCCCCTTTCCTCTGTTCACCACACACAGAGTCAACACACCTTAAGGTCCCTATGCCTCCTCATT